AGCAGGTGCCATGGGTTGTGGCTGCCTGAGATGACCGGGAGATGCAACCACCGGCTGTATGTACCCCACCCCCCTCCTACTGTGCCACCACCACCATCACCACCACCACCACCGCCGCCGCCACCAAATTTGCATCGTCGTCACGCAGCGCTTTCAGGTTCTGCTGCTGCCCGTCTGGAACGCTCTCTTCCCTTCCGATGTTAGGAAACCAGTGGGAGCCGTGATGCACGTTTACATCAGGATCATCATCTAACAAACTCACTTTGTTAGGACTGATTTTTTTTGTGTGTTAAGTTTGCCCATTCTGCCCACGCACCGCCTCCGATTGGCGCGGTTGGCTACGTACGGTGCGAAAGAAGTTAAACGAACATACACATTGCCTATGGACTAATACTACCCATAGACTAACACTGCCCATAGACTCAACAATACCCATAGACTCACACTGCCCATAGACTCAACACTACCCATAGACTAACACTGCCCATAGACTCAACACTACCCACATAATCAACACGACCCATAGACTCAACACTACCCATAGAGGAACACTACCCATCGACTCAACATTGCCCATTGACTAACTTTGCCCATAGACTAACATTTTCCATAAACTGACATTGACCATAGACTACCATTGCCCATAGACTAACATTGCCCATATACTTGCATTGCCCATAGACTAACATTGCCCATAGACTATCATTGCCCATAGACTAACATTGCCCGTAGACTAACATTGCCATAGACTAACATTGCTCATACACTATCATTGCCCATAGACTATCATTGCAAATAGACTATCATTGCACATAGACTATCATTGCACATAGACTAACACTGCACATAGACTAACATTGCACATAGACTAACATTGCACATAGACTAACATTGTCCATAGACTATCATTGCACATAGACTAACATTGCCCGTAGACTAATATTGCTCATAGACTAACATTGCCCTTAGACTAACATTGCCCATAGACTAACATTGCACATAGACTATCATTGCCCATAGACTATCATTGCCCATAGATTATCATTGCCCTTAGACTAACATTGCTCACATGCTAACTTTGCTCGATGATGATGTATGTACGTTGCACTTCTTTTGCACAGTGCATAGCCAACCGTGATAATCGGAGGTGCGGGGTGATGATGGTGGTGGTGGTGATGTCTTAATGATGATGTTGATAGCGTTAATCCATAGGGGTCTGCAGAAGACCTGCTGTGCTTTCTGTGCAATGATAGTGTTGATGTGGTGATGGTGTTGATGGTGATGTTGATGGTGGTGTTGATAGTGATGATGTTGATGGTGATGATGTTGATGGTGATGATGTTGATGGTGATGATGTTGATGGTGATGATGTTGATGGTGATGATGTTGATGGTGGTGTTGATGGTGATGATGTTGATGGTGATGATGTTGATGGTGATGATGTTGATGGTGATGATGTTGATGGTCATGGTGATGATGTTGATGGTGGTCTATCTGGAGGAGTGCGGAGACAGAGGGCGGTATCCTCTGCGCAACGGTGACGGTGATGTTGATGATGGTGATGATGTTGGTGATGATGTTGATGATGTTGGTGATGTTGGTGATGATGTTGATGATGGTGTTGATGATGTTGATGGTGTTGTTGGTGGTCTATCTGGACGAGTGGGGAGACAGGGGCCGGTATCCTCTGCGCAACGGTGACGATGATGTTGATGATGGGATGATGTGTTGTGATGATGTTGATGATGTTGATGATGTTGATGGTGTTGTTGGTGGTCTATCTGGACGAGTGGGGAGACAGGGGCAGGTATCCTCTGCGCAACGGTGACAGTGATGTTGATGATGGTGATGATGTTGGTGATGATGTTGGTGATGTTGGTGATGATGATGTTGATGATGTTGATGATGTTGGATGGTGTTGTTGGTGGTCTATCTGGACGAGTGGGGAGACAGGGGCCGGTATCCTCTGCACAACGGTGACGATGATGTTGATGATGGTGATGATGGTGAGGATGTTGGTGATGTTGGTGATGATGTTGATGATGTTGATGATGTTGATGGTGTTGTTGGTGGTCTATCTGGACGAGTGGGGAGACAGGGGCCGGTATTCCTCTGCGCAGGATCGCTTTTTGCGGTAGACGAGGGCGACCGCCACAATGAAGGCGGCGGCGATGACGGCGATCGGAAGTCACGAACTGCGACGACACGGCCACTGTGGTGCGGGGAGAGAGACAAGTGCACATCGTCACCATCGCATCGTCATCATCACAGCCACCATCGCATCATCGTCATCATCGTCACCGTCACCATCAACATCATCACTGCTGTCGTCAACATCATCATAATCGCTATCACTCTCAACATCGTCACTATCGATATCATCATCACTATCAACATAATCCCTCACCATCACCATCATCAACATCATCGTCATCTTCACCGCCACCACCAACAACGACCGCCATTCACCACTAACCGGCGGTGACATCGCCGCGGCCCCGAGGCCACGCAAAGTGTCGAAGGCTCTCCGCTGACAGGAGGCCACGGGGCAGACCCAGGTGCCATGGGTTTACTGACCGAGATGACCGCCAGAGGTTTGGCACCTCTGCTGCCAGGTCATAAGCACACTACCCAGGTACGGAAACGTCTCCACTCTCTCCACAACTGCCCCCATCACTCGTGGGAAGTTGTGACGGGTGGAGTGTTTGATGACAAAACACCCAGGCGGGCGCTTGGTTTCGGTGGGGCTGATGGTAAGGCCCCAACTCTTAGTGGCACGCTCCGGGTTCAGCAGCAACAGCAGAACCTCTCAGAATGAGCAGCAATCGCTACATCATCGGCATACGTAACGTGGTTTACCAATGGGGAGCCATTCCTTGACCACACCCGTGCATCATTCAGCCTCCCATTGTATCTGTACCAGATAGAAATTCCACTGGTAAAGTCATTGAAATCTTCTCAAACTGCGTGGTCAAAGATTATGTTAAATAGTGTAGCGGCCAGAGGACATCCCTGTCGCACCCAAAGGTGAACTGGGGATGGCTCTGACTCATGGCCACGCAACTTTACCTCGGCCTGCCCACCATCATGAAAGCCCTTAATGATCGTGAGCAGATAGTCAAGGACTCCGAAAGCATGAAGAACTGCCCACAGCCCTGGCCTGTTGATGGACTCATAGGCCTTGACCAGGTCAGTAAAGCAGAGATGTAAGTCCCTTTGAAATTCCCTATACCTCTGCTGTCGCAGACAAACAGAATTTGGCGTCTGTGCAGGATATTTGGGGCTCCGTAAGCCTCTCCTCAGCGTGCCTGTCAAGGCGATGTTGAATAATCCTTGCCAGGACCGTTCCCGGCACACTGAGGAGTGAGATGCCTCTGTAGTTGTTACAGTCTGTGCGGTCCCCCTCCTTAAAGAGGGGGACCACCAAGGCATCCCTCCAATCCTGCGCAAACCCATCCAGTGGTCTAGACAATTGTGATGATGTCACATTCGACAGTCTGCACATAAACGTCACCATCCCTCAGCAGTTCGCTTTGGAAATCATCTCTGCCCGGCGCTTTTCCTCGTCTCAGACTCTGGATCGCCTTTAGTAATTCCTCAACCGAAGGCACCTCAACCAGCCACTCACAGGGTTTGGGTACTTTCGCCAATATTTGAGGCACTGCAGCCCCAGCAGGGTCGTCCCCACATTGCCCCACGATCTTGTCCGAGCTGAGGGAATTCTCCCTTCCCCCAAAATCTCACAGAAATGCTCCGAAAACCTGCAGACCTGTTTCTGGGGGGTCGAAGATTGGATGGCTGTTCTTTCCCTTGAGGATGGTGTTAGGGGAGGTGCTGCAAGTTAATTATTTGATGTGAATTAAACAGTGATTTGTGATTTTGGGCTGCTGAGGCAGACTCTATCTCGTCAGAAACTCGCGCCCACCACCCATCCTTGCAGTGTCACACAGCTCTGCGATTCTCCGAAAGAAGGCTGCGGTAAGCCTCCTAATTTCCCGAAGTGGGATGTTGAATACAGCGGGAAAGGGACTGTCGTTTTTTTCTCAACTTGCCGGAACACCACCTCCTCTTTTAGCCAGGGTCTCTGAGAATGTCTGGACTGCATTCCCAACACTAGCATTGCAAGCTGCACGAGCCACAGTCTAGAACCTAACCCATTTCCCCTGAGCATCAGGAGGGGGATGGGGGAAGATGCCAATCCCGGCTGCAAGCAATGTTTTGGAATTCCCGCGTGCAACTGTCATTAGCTAGCTGAGGACCAGGCCACGGTGGCTTTTGAATGGAGTCCTAGCTGAACACCCATTCCACGTGTGGCCCGTTTCCTGATAGGGGTTTGGGGTGATCAGTCTGGACCCGCGAAATATGGATTGTCCCCATGGGGCCTCCAGCACAATCTTAGTTGGGTGCTTCTATCCTGTCTTGACCACCACCGTCATCATCACCATCAACAAGCCACTATCATTATCATCATCATCACTAAAAAAAACAAACAACGATCTCCCGTATAGCCTGAACAGACTGTTGGGGCAAGTGCTGTTAGAGAGAGCAACTATAAAGGCCGGCACTGTGGTGCAAGAGGCGGTGGGTGGCCGGCACCACGCCCGGCCGCCTTCGTCTTCAACAGTGGCGATGTTTGCTACCGTACACCGCGACACCAGGCGACTCATTTGAGGCTGAGTCGACCTAGTGGAGGAGGTGCAGGACCGGTTCAGATAATCGTCACCACCGTCACCGCCACCACCACCGCCAACAACAACAACAGCCATTGGGTGGCGGCGACGTCACCACGACGCCTGTGCCAGGCTACGTGCACGCTGAGGCCGCGTGAAGCGTCGAACGCCCGCCGGCTGGAGGCCACGGGGCAGACCCTGCAGGCGCGCCACGGGTCGACAGACTGAGACGACGACCTGGCCCATGCACCACCACCACCACCACCACCACCTGCGCCCCCCCCCCCCCCAGCCCCTACTGCGCCGACGCCGCCGCTGCCGTTGCCGCGATTACCGGAGGAGCGGTTCGGCTCCCCAGATGAACGAGCGGCCCGCGGGACACGGTGTGCACGCCGACTCGACGATCTCCCCCATGGCGACGGCGCTCCTCCTGCGCCGGGCGCTGTTCACGCAGCCCTGCTGGCAGCGCGTGCCCGCCTGGCCCGCCTTGCACACCAGCACGTCGCAGTGCAGGAAGACCTTGGGGGGGAGGGGAGTGGAGGGGGAGGGGACACGTGGGTCAGTGACGTTGCAGTGGGGTGGGGGACAACGTGGGGTCAGTGACGTTGCAGTGGGGGGGACACGTGGGTCAGTGACGTTGCAGTGCAGGAAGACCTGGGGGGGAGGGGGGGAGTGGGGGGGACACGTGGGTCAGTGACGTTGCAGTGGGGGGGACACGTGGGTCAGTGACGTTGCAGTGCAGGGACACCTGGGGGGGGGGAGGAGGAGTGGGGGGGTGGGGACACGTGGGTCAGTGACGTTGGAGTGGGGGGGACACGTGGGTCAGTGACGTTGGAGTGGGGGGGGACACGTGGGGTCAGGTGACGTTGCAGTGGGGGGGACACGTGGGTCAGTGACGTTGCAGTGCAGGGACACCTGGGGGGGGGGGGGGGGAGGAGGAGTGGGGGGGGGGGGGACACGTGGGTCAGTGACGTTGCAGTGCGGGGGGACACGTGGGTCAGTGACGTTGCAGTGGGGGGGACACGTGGGGTCAGTGACGTTGCAGTGGGGGGGGACCACGTGGGTTAGTGACGTTGCATTGCGGGGGACACCTGGGGGGGGGGGGGGAGGGGGTGGGTGGCACGGGGGAGAGGGACATTGGGGGCACACGCAGGGGCTGGGGGCCGACCACGTGGCTCAGTGTGGACACGTAGACAAGCACGTCACAGTGCAGGGACACGTGAGGAGCGTGTGGGGGTGGGCGGCCACGGAAGGTCTCAGGTCCACCTAGGCCTCTGCTAAGCCACCATACAGCACCTCACCCCACAACTGCACACACGCTAAAGCCAGAACACACTGTGTGGTGGCGAGTGCTTGTCCATAAATGACGTCACGCACCTGGGGGGAAGGGGGTGTTTGACAAATGTGACGTCACATCAAAATGCGCAACTTTAAATAAATAAATATAGGCGTCACGTTCTACTTCATTAAGTAGACTTTTTTGACAAATGTTTTCTCTCGTCCAACATCAGAGTGTGCAGCGCACTACAATGACAAGAGTTTAAAGCGATTTGAAGCATGCTTATATATATATTTTTTGGGGGGTGGGGTTGAAGGGGCAGATATTTGCGTGTGACGTCATATTTGAGGGGTGTGGGGTGGTGGGCGGGTCTGACTTTTCGTGACGTCGTGTGACGATGGTGGGTGGTGGTGGGGTGGTCAAAATCGTCCAAAATCGCATGACGTCATTTATGGACGCCGCCCCCCCGCCCGCCACCCCCTCTTAGGAGCCTACGGAGGCCGCCACTTTAGCGGCACCAAAACCCGGCTAGCCCGGGCCGCCGCTGCCTCTCCACCCCGGCGGCTGATTCCTTGTGGCGCATCGCGGCAGGCGGGCGCCCGTTGTTTCGAGGCCGAGCCCGACCTAAGGTGGGCAGGACCCAGGGCCCGGTTCAAATCGTCGAGCTCGCGTCTCCGCCGGCCTCGAAGCGCGGCGCAGCAGATGCCCGGCGACCGCCAACCGCTGCACCGCGCGTTTCCTCCTCTAGCCTGGCGACACGGCGCTTGTGCCAGGTGCTAGGTGCACCGCTTACCCCCACACCCCCAGCTACTCTCCCCCCCCCCTCCAACCACCACGTGGTCGTCCCATCTCTTGCGCCCACCTGCTTGAACTCCCCGACGAAGGCGAAAGCGACGAAGCTGAACTGGTTCTTCTTCAGGAAGCTGCTGTAGCTCTTCCACGTCGAATCCAGCACACAGCTGTTGGGTAGGGGGGGGGGGTAAGGGAGGAATAGGGTGGGGGTGAAAGTTGTCACGTGCATTTTCCCCTCCACGTTTGGAATCGAAGTCAATCTCGCCTTGTACACAGGAGTTTGTGGGTTCGATCCTGACCCCTGACGATGCCTGCTGCTGCTGTAGATTTGGAGTCTGCGTCTCTCTCTCTCTCTCATCATCATCACGGTGGCTAGGAGATGTTGACTACCTCGCTTGAAATACAGGAGGTCGTGGGTTCAACCCCGACCCTGACGATGCCTTCTGCTGCTGCTGTATATTTGGAGTCTGCGTCTCTCTCTCATCATCGTCATCACGGTGGCTAGGAGATGTTGACTACCTTGCCTGGTACGCAGGAGGTCCATGGGTTCGATCCCCAACCCTGGCCATGTCTGCTGCTGTATATCTGGAATCTGCGTCTCTCTCTCTTTCTCTCTCCCGTGGAGATGTTGACTACCTCGCCTGGTGTGCAGGAGGTCGTGGGTTTGATCCCGACCCTGACGACGCCTGCTGCTGCTGCTGTATATTTGGAGTCTGCGTCTCTCATCATCATCATTATCATGGTGGCTAGGAGATGTTGACTACCTCGCCTGGTATACAGGAGGTCTGTGTCTCTCTCTCATCATCATCATCACGGTGGCTAGGAGATGTTGACTACCTCGCTTGGTGTACAGGAGGTCGTGGGTTCGATCCCGACCCTGACGATGCCTGCTGCTGCTGTTGCAGATTTGGTGTTTGCATGTTTCTCTCTCTCTCTCCCCGTGGTCACGCTTTGGGAAAGTATTCGGCTTCTGCTATGAATCTCCACGTGATGATGGCGATGAGCCACTTCCTTGACCCTCCGTGAGATACGACGCAGCTCAGTGAGGGTCTTACCCGGTAAAGTAAAAAAATAAATATTGACTTAAGGCTTTCGTGACCGCAGGAATTAATTTTCTTTGGAGTGGGTCTTTCGGTAAAGTCACGTAGATAGGTTGAAATTAACAAAAAATAAAATAAACAAAAACCACGACGTTTCGATCACAACACAGGCTCTTTTTTTCCTCCTGATGATGGCCGCTTGTGTTGTGATCGAAACGTCGTGCTTTTTTGTTTATTTTATTTCTATAAAAATTGAACCGATCTACGTGACTTTACCATAAGACCCCAAAGAATAAAAACACATTAAATAGTTAAAAAGAGTTAAATTTTGCTTTAAAGCTTTCGTGACTGCAGGGATTCATATTCTTGGTTTCTGTCGGTAAAGTCACCACGTAGAAGGGAAACAATAAAATAATAAAATTCTAAATCAATAAAATGCTCACGACGTTTCGACTGTAAACACAAGCAATCGTCATCAGGTGTGAAAACCACGAGCAAGAAAATTTGCCGTGACTTTATTGTTTTATATTTTTATATTATTTTAATTGTTTCCCTTCCACGTGTGGTGACTTTACCGAAAGAACCAAGACTATGATCCCTGCAGTCACGAAAGCTTTAAAATCAACATTTGATGACGTTGATGTTGTCAGTATCAGCGGCTATAATTTGTGATAGCCAGGTCAGGTGGCTTCTGAAAAAGAGCCACTACGTAGCTCAGTGTTGCCGGGTAGGTGGCGGGGCGGGGGGGGGGTTGAAAGGGCTTACGCCTGCTAAAGTAAAAAAACAAAACTAAAATTGCTCAAATAGTTCGTCAATAGTTTGACGGTCATTGTGCGACTGACGGCAACAGGCCCGGGGCGTGGAAACGTCATCAGATTCCGGCGGAGGAAGGAATTCTCGAATTCCTTTGCTCTCCATTATACGGCTTTTTTGTTGCGTTAGGATCGCGAAAATATGTAAATTTTGATTTAAAGCTTTCGTGACTGCAGTGATTTCATATTCCTAGTTCTTTCGGTAAAGTCACGTTGAAGGAAACCAGCACACCTGAAGACGACCGTTTGTGTTATGGTCGAAACGTCGTGAGAATTTTTATTGTTTTATATATATTTTATTATCTTCTTTGGTTCTTTCGGTAAAGTCACGTAGAATGATAATAAAATAATACATTGATAAAATAAAATAACACAATAATATTCTCACGACGTTTCGGCCACAACACAAGCGGCCTTCATCAGGTGAAGGGGGCGAGACTGTCTGGTAGGACAGCGCTGTCACCTAATGAAGGCCGCTTGTGTTGTGGCCGAAACGTCGTAAGAATATTATTGTGTTATTTTATTTTATCAATTTATTATTTTATTATCATTCTACGTGACTTTACCGAAAGAACCAAAGAAGATGAATCATTGCAGTCACGAAAGCTTTAAATCGAAATTATATTTTATTATTTTGTTGTTTCCCTTCAACGTGACTTTACCGAAAGAACTAAGGATATGAAATATGTAAATGTTGCGTCGTTAAACCCGCCACCACCCGGCACAGCCAATTAGCAAGGGGTTTGCCACGTTTAACAGAAGGTGGCCAATTCGTTACTAGCACAGCGCTAGTGTATAGTGCAGTGCATAGTGTAGTGTGTAGTGTAGTGTATAGTGGAGTACTACAGCGGTTGTGTGTTGGAGAGCAAATCCACAACGGTGTAGTGTGTAGTGTAGTGTATAGTGTAGTACTACACCGGTTGTGTTTTCAAGAGCAAATCCACAACATTTACAATCTTAGTATGACATGTTGCCTGATGAAGCTAGTTGTAATTACTGGCAAAACGTCGTACCAAGATTGTAAATGTTGTGGTTTTGCTCTCCGACACACAACTGGTTGATGCTGTACTAGTAACGAATTGGCCACCTTCCGTTCACGTGACAAACCTTACTAATTGTCTGTGTCGGGTGGTGGCGGGGTTAACGACACAACGTTGATACATTTACACGATCTAACCCAACAAAACCTGGTTGCAAGGACTCAGCACCAGCACTGTTCACCCACGTTTCCGGAGAGCAAGTCTACGGGCAATGATAGTCTACTAGCAATGTTAGTCTATGGGTAATGTTAGTCTACGGGCAATGTTAGTCTATGTGCAATGTTAGTCTAAGGGCAATGTTAGTCTTCGGGCAATGTTAGTCTACGGGCAATGTTAGTCTATGTGCAATGTTAGTCTACGGGCAATGTTAGTCTACGGGCAATATTAGCCTACGGGCAATGTTAGTCTACAGGCAATGTTAGTCTACGGGCAATGTTAGTCTATGGGCAATGTTAGCCTACAGGCAATGTTAGTCTACGGGAAATGTTAGTCTATGGGCAATGTTAGCCTACAGGCAATGTTAGTCTACGGGAAATGTTAGTCTACGGGCAATGTTAGTCTACGGGCAATGTTAGTATATGGGCAATGTTAGTCTACGGGAAATGTTAGTCTATGGGCAATGTTAGTATATGGGCAATGTTAGTCTACGGGAAATGTTAGTCTGCAGGCAATGTTAGTCTACGGGCAAAGTTAGTCTACAGGCAATGTTTAGTCTATGAGCAATGTTAGTCTACCTGCAATGTTAGTCTATGGGCAATGTTAGTCTACAGGCAATGTTAGTCTACGGGCAATTTTAGTCTACGGATAATGTGGGTCTACGTGCAGTGTTACTCCATGCACAATTTTAGTCCACGTGCAGTGTCAGTGGTCTCCGTTCACGTACCCGTTCTTGACGAGGTCGTATCGGATGGGGTCCTGGGGGGTCCCCGCTGGGGGTCGCGAAGCAGTTCTCGTGTGAAGAGAGTGACGCTCAGGTTGGACCTTGACGGCGAGCTGGACGAAGACGTTTTGGTTCTCCTTGAAGTGCACGGGGTAGTCGCTCTTCTTGTACGGCAGCGCGAAGCGCTCCGAGTGGTACAGCTCGATGTTGAAGACGAAGTCGCCGAAGCCCGTCTCCGTCACGAAGATGCTGCCCGTGTCCGGCACGAAGTTCACCGCCAGGCTGCGGCGCTTGTCGTACTTACACCTGGAGAGCGAGAGAGAGAGAGACGATGCGAGACGGTGGCAGAGATCGTGGAGATGAGATGGAGATGAGGATGTTCACAGAGAGAGAGAGAGATCGAGTAGAGATGGAGATGAGATGGAGATGAGAGAGATGACAGACAGGAAGTTCACGGACAGATAAACGAGAGAGAGACGGCAGAGGTGAGACAAAGGAGGACACGAGAGTCAAGATGTTCACAGTGAGATATCGTTCAGATGAGATGGAGATGATAAAGATGAGAGATCAGAGTGAGGATGTTCACAGAAAGAGAGATGAGAGCGACCGTGGAGATGAGATGGAGATGAGACAGAGAGACGACAGTCGGGATGTTCACACAGAGACCGCATGCTTAAAACCTTAACCATCCTCGTGTTATAGTGAGAATTCCATCATGCGCTAGACTCGCATTACAGAGAGTAGTCCGTCACATGCTAGACTACCGTTACAGCGAGTAGTCCATCACACACTAGACTTCCGTTACAGAGAGTAGTCCATCATGCTAGACTCCCGTTACAGCGAGTAGTCCATCATGCTAGACTCCCGTTACAGCGAGTAGTCCATCACACGCTAGACTCCCGTTACAGCGAGTAGTCCGTCACACGCTAGACTCCCGTTACAGCGAATAGTCCGTCACACGCTAGACTCCCGTTACAGCGAGTAGTCCGTCACACGCTAGACTCCCGTTACAGCGAGTAGTCCGTCACACGCTAGACTCCCGTTACAGCGAGCAGTCCATCACACGCTAGACTCCCGTTATAGCGAGTAGTCCAACACATGCTAGACTCCCGTTACAGCGAGTAGTCTGTCACATGCTAGACTCCCGTTACAGCGAATAGTCCATCACATGCTAGACTCCCGTTACAGAGAGTAGTCCAATCACACGCTAGACTCCTGTTACAGCGAGTAGTCCGTCACACGCTAGACTCCCGTTACAGCGAGTAGTCCGTCACACGCTAGACTCCCGTTACAGCGAGTAGTCCATCACACGCTAGACTCCCGTTACAGCGAGTAGTCCGTCACATGCTAGACTCCCGTTACAGCGAGTAGTCCGTCACACGCTAGACTCCCGTTACAGCGAATAGTCCATCACATGCTAGACTCCCGTTACAGAGAGTAGTCCATCACACGCTAGACTCCAGTTACAGCGAGTAGTCCGTCACACGCTAGACTCCCGTTACAGCGAGTAGTCCGTCACATGCTAGACTCCCGTTACAGAGAGTAGTCCATCACACGCTAGACTCCTGTTACAGCGAGTAGTCCGTCACACGCTAGACTCCCGTTACAGCGAGTAGTCCGTCACACGCTAGACTCCCGTTACAGCGAGTAGTCCATCACCACGCTAGACTCCCGTTACAGCGAGTAGTCCGTCACACGCTAGACTCCCGTTACAGCGAGTAGTCCGTCACACGCTAGACTCCCGTTACAGCGAATAGTCCATCACATGCTAGACTCCCGTTACAGAGAGTAGTCCATCACACGCTAGACTCCTGTTACAGCGAGTAGTCCGTCACACGCTAGACTCCCGTTACAGCGAGTAGTCCGTCACACGCTAGACTTCCCGTTACAGCGAGTAGTCCATCACACGCTAGACTCCCGTTACAGCGAGTAGTCCGTCACACGCTAGACTCCCGTTACAGCGAGCAGTCCGTCACACGCTAGACTCCCGTTACAGCGAGTAGTCCATCACACGCTAGACTCCCGTTACAGCGAGTAGTCCGTCACACGCTAGACTCCCGTTACAGCGAGTAGTCCGTCACACGCTAGACTCCCGTTACAGCGAGTAGTCCGTCACATGCTAGACTCCCGTTACAGAGAGTAGTCCGTCACATGCTAGACTCCCGTTACAGCGAGTAGTCCGTCACATGCTAGACTCCCGTTACAGAGAGTAGTCCGTCACATGCTAGACTCCCGTTACAGCGAGTAGTCCATCACACGCTAGACTCCCGTTACAGAGAGTAGTCCGTCACACGCTAGACTCCCGTTACAGCGAGTAGTCCATCACACGCTAGACTCCCGTTACAGCGAATAGTCCATCACAAAAAAATAAAACCACGTTAAAGTGGAAAGGCGTTGCGCGAACGGACGCGCATTAAATGGGGCTTAACTGCACGTCGGTGTTTGGACAGAAGGAACCGCACCGCGTGCGGGATCTCGCGACCGCGCTTAGTTGAACGCGCTACGTACGTGAGCGGGACCTGGATGTCGTTGAAGTTGCGGATGATGGGCAGGCTCCTGTTGGCCGACTTGAGGGTGAGCGTCTGGGAGAAGATCATCTGCGAGTCCGTCTCCTGCAGGGATGGCAGAAATCACCGACAGCCACGTCAACTCGTGCTGTTGCGGACCCAACAAGGTCGCGCGATCCCTCGATGGGAGGATGAGGAATGGCAACGCTACGCGAGCCCTCGCCCTCTGCTGAACCCGTCTCTGTCACCGTGGCCAGCGGCAGCTGGAACTTCACATTGGGCATCTTAGCTCTTGAACGGCATCCCTGCTTCCATCATCATTGCAAGAATCGAATAATCTACGGACAATGCTAGTCTATGTGCAATGTTAGTCTATGTGCAGTGTTAGTCTATGTGCAATGTTAGTCCATGTGCAGTATTAGTCTATGTGCAGTGTTAGTCTATGTGCAGTGTTAGTCTATGTGCAATGTTAGTCTATGTGGAATGTTAGTCTACGTGCAGTGTTAGTCTATGTGCAGTGTCAGTTTATGTGCAATGTTAGTCTATGTGCAGTGTTAGTCTATGTGCAGTGTTAGTCTATGTGCAATGTTAGTCTATTGCAGTGTTAGTCTATGTGCAGTGTTAGTCTATGTGCAGTGTTAGTCTATGTGCAATGTTAGTCCATGTGCAGTATTAGTCTATGTGCAATGTTAGTCTATGTGGAATGTTAGTCTACGTGCAGTGTTAGTCTATGTGCAGTGTCAGTTTATGTGCAAATGTTAGTCTATGTGCAGTGTTAGTCTATGTGCAGTGTTAGTCTATGTGCAATGTTAGTCTATTGCAGTGTTAGTCTATGTGCAGTGTTAGTCTCTGTGCAGTGTTAGTCTATGTGCAATGTTAGTCTATTGCTGTGTTAGTCTATGTGCAATGTTAATCTATGTGCAGTGTTAGTCTATGTGCAATGTTAGTCTATGTGCAATGCTAATCTATGTGCAGTGTTAGTCTAGGTGCAATGTTAGTCTATGTGCAATGTTAGTCTATGTGCAGTGTTAGTCTATATGCAATGTTAGTCTATGTGCAGTGTTAGTCTATGTACAATGCGAGTTTATGTGTAATGTTAGTTTACATGTCGTGTTAGTCTATGGGCAATGTTAGTCTATGGGTAGTGTTAAGTCTCTGGGCAGTGTTAAGTGTACGTAGGGTAATGTTGAGTCTATGTGCAGTGTTAAGTCTTCTGTCAATGTTAAGTCTATGTGCAGTGTTGAGTCTATGGCCCAATGTTGAGTCTATGGTGCAGTGTTGAGTCTATGGCGCAGTGTTGAGTTTATGGTGCAGTGTTGAGTCTATGGTGCAGTGTTGAGTCTATGGTGCAGTGTTGAGTCTATGGTGCAGTGTTGAGTCTATGGTGCAGTGTTGAGTCTATGTCGCAATGTTGAGTCTATGGCGCAGTGTTGAGTCTATGGGGCAGTGTTGAGTCTATGGTGCAGTGTTGAGTCTATGGTGCAGTGTTGAGTCTATGTCGCAATGTTGAGTCTATGGTACAATGTTGAGTCTATAGTGCAGTGTTGAGTCTATGTCGCAATGTTGAGTCTATGGCGCAGTGTTGAGTCTATGGTGAAGTGTTGAGTCTATGGTGCAGTGTTGAGTCTATGGTGCAGTGTTGAGTCTATGGTGCAGTGTTGAGTCTATGTCACAATATTGAGTCTATGGCGCAGTGTTGAGTCTATGGTGCAGTGTTGAGTCTATAGTACAGTTTTGAGTCTATGGTGCAGTGTTGAGTCTATGTTGTAATGTTGAGTCTATGGTGTAGTGTTGAGTCTATGGTGCAGTGTTGAGTCTATGGTGCAGTGTTGAGTCTATGGTGCAGTGTTGAGTCTATGGTGCAGTGTTGAGTCTATGGTGGAGTGTTGAGTCTATGTGACAATATTGAGTCTATTGCGCAGTGTTGAGTCTATGGTGCAGTGTTGAGTCTATGGGGCAGTGTTGAGTCTATGTTGTAGTGTTGAGTCTATGGTGCAGTGTTGAGTCTATGGTGCAGTGTAGAGTCTATGGTGCAGTGTTGAGTCTATGGTGCAGTGTTGAGTCTATGGTGCAGTGTTGAGTCTATGGTGCAGTGTTGAGTCTATGGTGCAGTGTAGAGTCTATGGTGCAGTGTAGAGTCTATGGTGCAGTGTAGAGTCTATGGTGCAGTGTTGAGTCTATGGTGCAGTGTTGAGTCTATGGTGCAGTGTAGAGTCTATGGTGCAGTGTTGAGTCTATGGTGCAGTGTTGAGTCTATGGTGCAGTGTAGAGTCTATGGTGCAGTGTTGAGTCTATGGTGCAGTGTAGAGTCTATGGTGCAGTGTTGAGTCTATGGTGCAGTGTTGAGTCTATGGTGCAGTGTTGAGTCTATGGTGCAGTGTTGAGTCTATGGCGCAGTGTTGAGTCTATGGTGCAGTGTAGAGTCTGTGGTGCAGTGTTGAGTCTATTGCGCAGTGTTGAGTCTACGGCGCAGTGTTGAGTCCACGGTTGAGTTTAAGAGCTGTTGCACACCGCACCTGGCACACGGCGCCGCAGTCCACGATGCCGATGTCGAAGACGATGAACTGGCCGTTGTCGAGCGGCGAGCATCCCGGGGGCGTGCCGTCGTTGAGCGAAAAGTCGCTCGCGTTGTGGCCCGCCACCAGCACCTTGGGGATGTGGGCTGACATCCGCTCATCCTGGCACGACAGCCGCACCTCGGCTAAAGCAGGGGCGGGGGGGGGGGTGGGGTGGGGAAAGAGCAACGAACACGACAATCGGTGAAGAGGATGCGGGCGCACGTGAAAGTGGCTGGAGCACGATAATTAAATCGGGTAATCTTATTACGTCAAGTCCTCATTTAACGCGGCGGCGGGTCGTAGATGCGTCCCCGAAAGGTGCCGCGTTGAGCGGTGAAACGCATTGAGTGAAAAGGATTTCCCCACGAGCGATGTACCGATAAAGTTTGGCGAGGCACGACGTACCACCGCGCGCGCCGCGCCATGAGATGGCGGCGGGACCAGTAACTGAGGGTACGCCGCCGCTGCGTTACCGTATCATTCCGTGTGCCGTGTCACTGTACCGCAGGTCGAGATAAGAGCTCGTCAGAAACCGCATCATCGTGCACGCCACCGCGTCATAACTGTGCGCATTCCGCGTCATAACTGTGCACATTCCGCATCATAACGGTGCGCATTCCGCGTCATAACGGTGCACATTCCGCGTCATAACTGTGCACATTCCGCGTCATAACTGTGCACATTCCGCGTCATAACTGTGCACATTCCGCATCATAACGGTGCACATTCCGCGTCATAACGGTGCACATTCCGCGTCATAACTGTGCACATTCTGCATCATAACGGTGCGCATTCCGCGTCATAACGGTGCGCATTCCGCGTCATAACAGTGCACATTCCGCGTCATAACGGTGCGCATTCCGCGTCATAACGGTGTGCATTCTACGTCATAATGCTCGTTACTGGAGTATGGCTATGGCCAACAGCACAGAAGAAGGTAAAAAACTGCTGCAATTGACCTGATTATTGATGTAAATAATGCGCCGTCAATGCCGTAAATTGTTACAGCAAAGACACTGTTTCACAGGGACGGAGTAACTGCATTAAGCGTAGGTGTGACCTTACCCACGAACGAGTTCTGAATGGTTTATTTGGATGTATATAATTGTATGTGGTGTTCACAACGAGTCAATAACGGTACAGTACATGTTGTTTTAATGTGGTTGTTGTTGTTGTATCTGATTACAATCTAGCGTTAATGCGAAAGCGTTTGCCTCGTCCACTAAAGGTGGTCGTTATGGTGAGCTATTGTTATGAGAGTTCACATAGCAAAGGATGTTAATATATGATGAGACCTCCTTTGCCAGTAGCAAAATATGATAATAGTTTTTTTTACCCTTTTATCTGGCAACAAAACTGACACCTTTTTTTTTACAAGGGATCATGCTTGCATTAACCACAATACTTACCCCGAGCTCTCAATACTCTGATGGTGGCGTTGTCTTTGAGTTGTGCGCCTTTTGGCGTCATCTGGTCCAACACCAACGTGAGACTGGGCTCTAACAAAAGCTGTCTCTGGTGTGGACCAATCAATTTCAAGGACAATGCCACATACATTATGAGAGTGCTGTTTTTTGTTTGTTTGCATTTTGACCGCAGGTATTGGTGGTTAATGCAAACATGATCCCTCATAAGAAAACGTGTCAGTTTCGTTGCCTGATAAAAGGGTAAAAAAAAACACCTATTATCTATGTTAACATAGGTAAAATACTGTTAACAACATCGTATCTGCACACCACGTAGTGGACAGTGACGGATTGGGACTAAGAACCTGCCCAGGCATTTGTAAACACACCGGCCCAACAGCACGGCTGTGCACGTGCTGTGTGTGGCACGTGGCCTGAGAGCCCAGCGTGGCATTCCCCTATCGTACAGACTCCGAGTTGGGATCTACCCTCGAGAAGTCTTCACGTCCGTCATCGTGTGCGTGTGGACCCCCGAGTTCACTTACAAACTTACGCTAAAATCGTTCGCGTGCAGCCACCAAACTGGAAACTCTACAGATTCGAAGTGCTACCGTTTGCATGCTTTCCCCAAAGGTCGCGTGGATTTTTTTTTCTTCGGGCCCTCGAGTTTTGTTTTCCACTCCACATTTAGAAACGTGCACTTCGAGTATTTGGCCGCTATAAATCTCCACGCGATAATCCATTTCGTTGGCCTATCATTTGTGATAGCCAGGTCGTTTCTGAAAAAAGAGCTAACGGCTCAGTTAGCTCTGCATGGGCGGTGTTAGTTCGAGTGCAGTGTAAGTCTGTGTAAAGCGTTAGTGCATTTGCAGTGTTAGCCTGTGCTCACTGTTGGTCGATGTGCAATGCCAGTCCAAGGCGGACACTGCTAGTCTATGGGCAATGCTCGTATATATGCACCGTTAGTCTATGCGCAATGTGATCACGGTTTGCCGCCAACCGCGCAACCTACCAGGGTGACATCCCAGCATTCCGTTCTTCAGGAAGCAGACTTCGTTGCCCATGCACCCGCTGGGGTCGTCCGAGATGTTGTACTGCGAGTAGCAGGTGTAGTGGTGCGAGCAATCCCATGACCACCAATCGTCGCCCACCTGCACACACGCAAACGGCCGTTGGGAGGGTAGGCTTGAACGATCTCAAAGTTAATATCCACCGGTTGGCCCGCGGACGAATCTGCGGCACATATTTCATGCTATAGATCTGTTACCTTAAAGCAGCAGGGTATTTCAACCTCTAGTAGTGCCTTGCCCTTCCTCTTTATGACCCGGCCCTTCGGCATTAGGACATGCTCCCTCCCCTTTATGTAGGGGCAGAGGTTTAGGTAATATAAAATAATAACCGCCACTTTTTTCAAATTTTCTTGTTGTGATTTTCACACTTGATGATGATTGCTTGTGTTGCAGTCGAAACGTCGTGAGAATTTTATTTTTTTATATTTTTATTATTTTATTGTTTCCCTTCTACGTGACTTTACCGAAAGAACCAAGAATATGAATCCCTGCAGTCACGAAAGCTATAAATCAAAATATAATAGGAGTTGAAGATGTCTTATGTCGTGTTAGAGAAAGAGGCTTTGTGATAGATGAGTAGACTAGGCCTTGCGTGGCGGTAGAGGACTTAGGCTCTGACACAAATGACGAAAAACTAGGCCTCACTTGATGATGAAGGAATTGGGCTGTGACACAGATGACATAAACCAGGCCTCATGTGGTGTGTAAAATAATTAGGCTTTGAAGCAAACTAGGCCTCGCGCGGTGATAGATACATTCTCCCTCTGTGCACAGATGAAGCAGACTAGGCCTCACGGGATGGTAGATTAGGATCTGGGCACAGATGAAGCGGACTAGGCCTCACGGGATGGTAGATTAGGATCCGGGCACAGATGAAGTGGACTAGGCCTCACGGGATGGTAGATTAGGATCTGGGCACAGATGAAGTGGACCAGGCCTCATGGGATGGTAGATTAGGATCTGGGCACAGATGAAGCGGACTAGGCCTCACGGGATGGTAGATTAGGATCTGGGCACAGATGACGCAGACTAGGCCTCACGGGATGGTAGATTAGGATCCGGGCACAGATGAAGTGGACTAGGCCTCACGGGATGGTAGATTAGGATCTGGGCACAGATGAAGCGGACTAGGCCTCACGGGACGGTAGATTAGGATCTGGGCACAGATGAAGCGGACTAGGCCTCACGGGATGGTAGATTAGGATCTGGGCACAGATGAAGCAGACTAGGCCTCACGGAACGGTAGATTAGGATCCGGGCACAGATGACGCGGACCAGGCCTCACGGGATGGTAGATTAGGATCCGGGCACAGATGAAGCAGTCCAGGCCTCACGGGATGGTAGATTAGGATCTGGGCACAGATGAAGCAGACCAGGCCTCACGGGATGGTAGATTAGGATCTGGGCACAGATAAAGCGGACTAGGCCTCACGGGATGGTAGATTAGGATCTGGGCACAGATGAAGCAGTCCAGGCCTCACGGGATGGTAGATTAGGATCTGGGCACAGATGACGCGGACCAGGCCTCACGGGACGGTAGATTAGGATCTGGGCACAGATGAAGCAGACCAGGCCTCACGGGACGGTAGATTAGGATCCGGGCACAGATGAAGCGGACCAGGCCTCACGGGATGGTAGATGCCGTCCATGGTGCAGCCGCAGTTGGCCGCGTCCACGCAGGCTCCGTCGTGCAGGAAGAAGCCCGGGCTGCACTCGCACGCCTCGACGCACGCCTGCCTCTTTGGGCACGCGGCGTTGGAGAAGCCGCACGCGCTCGGGCACGGCGACGCGCACCCCTTGTACGCGCTGTTTGCCGGGCAGCTCAGCGCTGTCGGGTGGACCAGGGCAGGCGAAAGGGAGGAAAATAACGAAGGAAGGATGAGAAAAATAATCTTTCGACATGCTCGAATTTCTGTGACGCTTCCTCAACGTGCGTTCGCCATCGGCTCTGCTCGGACGTGTGCAAGGCCTTCATAATTATTTCAACTTGTAAGGCGCACGGTGTACCGAGCTGATTGAGAGCTTCGTTCGAGGGGCGGGGGGGGGATGGCTGTCAATTGTTGGACACGTCACCCGTCTCGATGCGCAAGTTTATTAGTTGACGCTCAGGTTAAGTTGGCACGGTCCATATCTTTCTAAAATTGGTGGTGTGGTGCGCCGGGGTGGGGGGGGGGTGGGGTGGGAATGTATGACTTCCTCCACCACTTTTTATATTTTCTTCCAATTCCAACTCGGCTCGTTAGATATCCGACGTCCTTACACATTTAAACGGAAAAGCGGGGAACCCTCCCCCCCCCCCTACCCCCCCTACTCACGGCAATTCAAGGACGCCCTCCACTCGCCGAGCGTCACGCCGCTGCCCAGGCACGCGTCGAAGTAACCCTGCAGGTGGGAGCAGCGCAGCTCGTCGCTGAGCGCCGTGAGCGCCAGGTCGAACACGCAGTTGCCGTGGAAGGGCTCGGGCGGCACCGCCTCGAAGCACGCGGCGAACGGCGACGTCGCGCTCTTGAGGGGACTGCACGGCTCGGCGGCACTGGCCAAGTCGGCATCGTTCGGCTTCACCATTCGGCCGTAGTCGAACCCGCAGCTGTGGTGGCGGTGGGGAGAGCAAAAGCACTTCACCATCATCATCATCATCATCACCACCATCATCAAGCTGAATTGTTGCTGGCCAGGAGCTGCCCTGGTTGAGGTCTAGGGGTAGGGACAATGCCACGGTTAGGGTTACGTGGAGGGGTCCAACGGCGGAGGGCGACTCACGCCGAGTTGTTGCTGGCGACCGGGTACTGCCAGGAGCTGCCGAAGGTGTAGGCGGTGGCGTGCAGCTCCCCGTCGGGCCCCGCAAAGTCGTCGCCCGGGTCGCCGTTGAAGTTGCCGCAGAGGCCGCTGAGGTTGCGCGCGTAGTACGCCTGGAGGCGCAGGTCCACGTAGCTGTAGCCGTCGTACTTGACGGTGAGCCCCGCCGCCGGGAAGGAGAGCACCGCGAACTTGCCGGCCCTCACCACCGTGCCGTTGGGCAGGCCCACGGGGAGGCTCACGCTCTCATCGTTCACCTGCGTTTCGCCAGACGGGGAAGCGAAACGACGGGCTCGTTCAGATTTCGCCCCGCGACCCGCGGCCGCCAGCGCACCGTGCCCGCTCGCTCTCGGAGAGGGAGAGAGGGCGACTCCAGAGGCAGGAAGGCAGCGGCAGCAGCAGCAGCAGCGGCAGCAGCAGCCACGCGGCGAGGAGCCAGCGTGTCAACAATTTCCCAAGCTCTGCAGTCCACTATAGATGGTGTGGGAGGAAACCGGGGCGCCGGGAGAAATCCCACAAGTGCGAGCGAGGGGGAAACACTCTATCCCCATGCATACAGACCCAGTTGGAGTCGACATCTTTGCTTAGTTCCGCCTTATAGCTGGCAGAGCAAGGGGGTATGGCTCCCCATCGACACCCACCCATGAGTAGAAGGCAGCGAGATGGAACAGATGGAGATTAGTCCACACACTTTTGCTGCTGTGCCGCTTTCTAGCTGGCATAGCCAGGGGGTGACAGGCTCCTCCTCGACGCACCACCCACGTGAAGTGAGTTTCACAGGACAATCTGCGCGTGATTCACCACATGCAGCGGCTTAGCCACGCCCATTGCCCTCCACTCTTTCCCCATGCCGTCCCCCCTCTCCCTGACAACTAACTCACTCCTCCCCCCCCCCACCCCAACTCTCAACTCACCAGGACGGCGCCGCCGAACAGCAGCTTGACGTTGACGTCGTGGTCGAGCCGCACCTCCACGGTCCGCGTGTACGCCACGGCCGCGTTTCCGTACCGGTGCTCGTTCTGCACCAGCACGTGCCACGCCGCCGGGCGAGAGCCCGCGTAGCTGGGGCTCGGCGCCGCCAGCGTGTAGGTGCACGTGCCCATGAAGTCGAAGTACTTGCCGTCGAAGGTGGTGTAGTGCGGGTCACCAGACGCGTGGCAGTGCTCTTTGGGCGTGGTGGTGGGGGGGGGGGCGGCGGGGATGGCCACCACGTGGAGAAGGGAGAGAAGAGAGATAGTGAGGTGTGTCCCACAGCTGCCAACCTGCCCAACCACCCACTTACTCACCCGCCCAACCACCCACCCACCCACCCACTCACCGATCCACCCACCCGCCCAACCATCCGCCCACTTACCCAATCTCCAAACCCAACCAACCACCCACCCACTCACCCATCCACCCACCTGCCCAACCACCTGCCCACTCACCCAATCTCCAAACCCAACCACCCACCCACCCACTCACCCATCCACCCACCTGCCCAACCACCTGCCCACTCACCCAATCTCCAAACCCAACCACCCACCCACCCACTCACCCATCCACCCACCTGCCCAACCACCCGCCCACTCACCCAATCTCCAAACCCAACCACCCACCCACCCACCCACTCACCCATCCACCCACCCAACCACCCGCCCACTCACGCACCCACCTATTCACCCACCCAACTACCGAACCCAAAAACCCACCAAACCCGACCCAGGGTATGGCCCCTCCCTGACGACCACCCATGGGAAGGGACTTTCACGCAAACAACGCTCCGCGTGCGATCCAACAACCTCTGGTGGTGCCTCTGCCGATGCCCCCACAGTGCCGGCTTATGGGCTGCCGTGTACGGCGTAGCCGTCGCCGCCACCCGGCACCGAGTGGGCATCGTGTGGCGGCGCCTGTTGCAAAGGTTTCTGCCTTTGACTGCGGGCGCATCCACTGGAGCCGTGGAAAGCCTCCTCGTCCTTGGCCATGGGATGTTGCAGACGGTGGGAGTGTGGGCCTGTTGCTTTCACTCGGCCAGCCGGAAACCATCTTCTCCGTCAGCCAGGGTTCTCCGGGGAGGTCTGGCCAATGCGGCCGCTGCAGCTGCGCGAGCCACAGTCCTGAACCTCGCCCATTTCCCCCTCGGCATACGAGACGAGAAAGAGGACGACGCCAACCCCACCCCCCCCTCCCCCATCCTCTCTGACGCGGGATGCTGTAGATGGTGGGAGTGGGCCTGTTGCTTTTTCCTCAGCCAGCCGGAACACCTCCTCCGTCAGCCGGGGTCTCATCTTGGACCGTGCACCCAAAGCAGCCATTGCAGTTGCATGAGCCACAGTCCTAAAACCTCCCCCGTTTACCCCCTCGGCAGTAGGCGTAGGGTGGGGGGGGGAGAGGGGGACGATACCAACCCCAGCTGCAAGCGATGATGACATTTCCAATTGTCAACTCTCGTTGGCTAGCCGAGACCATTGGAACTGTGTGTTCGAATGGGGTCCTAGGTGGACGCCCACCATCGCAATGGGAGATTTTGCAGGCGCATTAATACAGACCCCCTGCTACTCGCAAGGCCTTCGACACTTCACGTGGCCTCAAAGTGCACCGAGCGTGGCACCAGCACCGTGGTTGACGACGTCGCCACCGCTTAATGGCGACAGGCGGTGGCTGCTGCTGCTGCTGCTGCCGTTGGTGTTTTTGTTTGGAGCGGCGGTGCAACCCTCGACAGACGCCGCGCCCCGTCGCGCCCACCCCCCCCCCCCACCTTCACCCCCCCCCCCCGCCCCAGGGCCGGGCCTCACTCGCGATGGCTTGGCAGCCGGCCTTGCCCCCCTCCAGCACGGCGCAGAAGTGGAACTCGGGGCAGGCGAACGCCTGGCAGTCGATGCCCCCCGCGTCGCACAGGCACGAGCTAGTGCAGTCGTCCGAGATGAACGTGTCGCCAACCTGCAGCGAATCGGAAACGGGGTCATCTTTAGTTTGCGAAGGGGGGTGGGGGGGGGGCGGGGTATGTGGGGCAAAAGTTTTCAATGAAGATGATAATGAACCTTGATTTTTTTGTTACGGTTTTACAGCGTACGACCAGACCGCTTAAAAACTACTCCAAGCGTTCGGTATTTTCCGGCAAAAATGAAAACGCGTTGACGACTTTGATTCGGCGCCTTCTACTTAAAGACGTACCCATCACGGGAAGCCGCTCGATTTAAAGATCCCGTTCTCTTTTGTTATTCGAAAGAACAAACATTAATGAACTTTAATAGTCTATGAGGGGAAGCTGTCCTCTATCACTTCGGTGCTGCTGCGGGGTCCACTTTCTGCCCCGCCTCGTTCCCCCCCCCTTCTCTCCCCCCCCCCCCTACTGCCGAGGCCTACTATAAAACCTCGTGCCACGGGAGATCCCTCGCCTACTTCAGCAGATTGTTGTTGCTGCGGTTGTCCCACCTGATGACGATTGCTTGTGTTGCGATCGAAACGTCGTGATCTATTATTTTTTTCTACCTACCACGTGACTTTACCAAAAGAATAACCAAAGAGTATGGATTCCTGCAGTCACGAAAGCTTCAAATCAAGACTGTCCTCTATCGTTTACCGTTCTCGAATCATCGTGATGCGAACATCATAAAACGCCGATGTTTTCGTTCAAAACCGATTGAATCCTAAATATCTCAAACACAATAAAAGATAGAACCCCAGTGCCTCTCGCTTTCATTTCATTTGCTGTTCAAGGCTCTTATCAACCGAAAAGGAAAACCGCACTGTTAAATTTTGAACGGTTTCTGGATGACACCATGCACACAAACATATTTATGGGGAACTTAAACATCGAGGTTTGGGGGCCTTAAAATAAAAAATACGACAATTTCAGGTTTTTCCTGTTGTTTGTACCCTAAAGCTACATATATATACAGAATTCGGCTTTCTACCTTGTTGGGAAGATGCCCTAGAGGTGTTTGAAATGTAAACATCAAGGTCTTTGTTTAAATAGAAGATTGTAATCAGGTCTCAGGCCCCACTGAGCTATGTAGCAGTTTTCTTTCGGAAAGTGACCCTAGCTATCACAAATTATAGCAGATCAATCAAGTGGCTGATATCATTGTCACCTGGAAATACTCTAAACGCATGGTGATGTTAATTCTAAATGTGGAGGGAAAAACCCGCAGGAGATCGAGAGAAATCTGCGCAGTGACCACGGGGAGAGAGACACGCAAACTCCAAATATACAGCAGGAGGCGTCAGGGTCGGGATAGAACCCACGGCCTCCTGTGTACCAGGCGAGGTAGTCAACATCTCCGAGCCACTGTGATGATGCTGAGAGAGACGGAGACTCCAAATATACAGCAGCGGGCATCGTCAGGGTTGGGATCAAACCCACGGGCTCCTGCACACCAGGCGAGGTAGTTGACATCTCCAAGGCACCGTGAAGGTGATGTACGGTGTAAAATAAGTTCTACATACAATACATGACCTCATGGTACTACAACAAGAAGAACCCGCAGTAGGCAGTGCATCACCTTGTAGTACTTGTTCTTGTAGAGGCAGCCGCACTGGTCGGCCAGCACGCAGGCGTCGTCCTCCAGGACGTAGCCGATGTCACAGACACAGCCCTCAACGCAGTCTCCCTGGCACTGCCCCTCGACGGCTCCGTCCACGCACGACACGGGGCACGGCGGAGCGCAGTACGAGTAGTGGCTGTTGGCGGGGCACTGCGGGACGGCTGTGGGCGGCAGCAGACGGAGACGCGGTGCGGCCTCACGGGGGCGACTGAACAGGTGGATGGGTGGGTGAGTGGGTGACTGCATGGGTGACCGGGTGGGTGACCGGGTGGGTGACCAGGTTAGTGGTTGGGTGAGTGGGTGACTGGGTGGGTGACCGGGTGGGTGACCAGGTGAATGGTTGGGCGAGTGGGTGACTGGGTGAGTGACTGGGTGAGTGACCAGGTGAGTGGTTGGGTGAGTGGGTGACTGGATGGGTGACCGACTTGGTGACCGGGTAAATGGGTGGGTGAGTGGGTGACTGGGTGGGTGACTCGGTGAATGGGTGGGTGAGTGAAGGGGCCGGTGAGTGAGTGGATGGGTGAATGAATGGGCGATTGCGAGAAAGTGATGAGACAAAGGGAATGAGAGCGACAAAACCGTTGCCCGCGAAATTCGCCAAAATCACGAGCACCTCCGGAACGTATCCCCGGTGGCGAGCACCGACGGAAAAACACCGCACATCTGGGAGGGGATGGTCAGTAGGGGGTGTGGCGGGGGGTTGGTGGTTTCCGTCCACCATCCCTGATCGAACGATCAGGGATGCCACCACCGCCGCCACCGGCCCACCGCTGGACTGGGCACCGCGTCGGCGGTACGCGACACTCACGGCAGACGGCGGCGCTCCTCCACTCCTGGGTGGCCGCTCCGGCCTTGACGCAGGCGGCGAAGTACGCCTGCAGTGCCTTGCAGTGGACGACCGGGTCGAACTGCAGCAGCACCAGGTCGAAGACGCAGTTGGCGAAGAACGGCTCGGGGTCGACGGACGCCTGGCAGCTGGAGAAGGCGCCCAGCGGGTCCTTGAGGATGCCGCACCAGGTCGGCTGGGCCGCCACGCCGGAGCCCACCGGATCGATCACCACGGGGCGGCCAATGTCGTCGAAGCCCCTGTCGGCGGAGGAGAGGAGCGGGGGGTGGGGGGGGGGGGGAAGGGGGCCGTGCGGTTAAATGGATGAACACTCGGTAAGGGAAATGAGGATTTGTCACCCAGCTGCTCGGAACCAGGTTATGCGTTCTTTCTTACACATTGTCCATAGACTCAACACTGCCCCACTGCCCATAGATTCAACACTGCACCATAGACTCAACACTGTACCATAGACTCAACAGTGCACCATAGACTCAACACTGAACCATAGACTCAGCACTGCACCATAGACTCAACACTGCACCATAGACTCACCACTGCACCATAGACTCAACACTGCACCATAGACTCAACACTGCACCATAGACTCTACACTGCACCACAGACTCAACACTGCACCACAGACTCACCACTGTACCATAGACTCACCACTGCACCATAGACTCAACACTGCACCATAGACTCAACACTGCACCATAGACTCAACACTGCACCATAGACTCAACACTGCTACCCATAGACTCAACACTGCACCATAGACTCAACACTGCTACCCATAGACTCCACACTGCACCACAGACTCGACACTGCACCACAGACTCGACACTGCACCACAGACTCGACACTCACGTGTCGACGATGCCCGGCTCCTCCACCTTCCAGCTGTTGCCAAAGTCGGTGGCGCCGGGCGCCTGCGAGCCGTCCCGGCGCGTGAAGTCGTCGGCGCCGGCGCCGTTCATGTTGCCGCAGAGGCCGCAGAGCGACGCCGCGAAGGTGGTGGGCAGCTTGACCTTGGCGTGGTAGTTCCCCTCGTAGAGGACCTCGAGGCCGAAGTCGGACGCCACGCGCATGAAGCCCCCGTCGCGCGTCACCGAGAATCCTCCGGCGCCGCCGGCGACGCCGCCGCCGCCGTAGTAGAACGGCAGGCGCAGTTGCACGTCGTTCAGCTGGGGGGGGGGGGGGGGTGGGGGGGTGGGGGGGGGTGGTCAGGAGGTGGAGGCGGTGGTGGGCCGATAGGGGGTGGACGATGGAGGGGGATAGAGAGGAGGTGGACGGTGGGGGAAGGAGCAGGACGGAGGTTGGGAGGAGGAGGAGGATGATGAGGTTAGGGAGGAGGAGGGGAAGGAGGATGAGGAGAATGGGGAGGTGGACGGGGAGGAGGAGGAGGATGATGGGGAGGAGGAGGAGGAGGATGGGGAGGAGGAGGATGGGAAGGTGGATGGGGAGGAGGAGGAGGAGGGGGAGGAGGAGGAGGAGGAGGAGGAGGAGGAGGAGAAGAAGGAGGTAGTGGAGGGGGAGGAGGAGGATGGATTGAGGAGGAGGGGGAGGATGGGGAGGAGGGAGGAGGATGAGGATGCGGAGCAGAAGGATTTGAAGGAAGACGATGGAGGGAAGAGGATGGGGAGGAGGACGAGGGCGGGGACACACACACACAGGACGTGTGAGTTCGTGACCTCAGCGTGAACTCGCCGCCGCTGCTCGACATCAACGTCGGCCGGCCAGACGGATACGGTGCGAGAAAGGGGGGTGGGAGGGGTCTACGGCGGTGCCTCTCTGTGGTCCGGCGGTGCGGTGCGGTGCGGTGCGGTGCGGCGCGGCGCGGCGCGGCGCGGCGCGAGCGATCCTCACGTAGACGTGGGAGCCGACGGCGAGCAGCACCCGCTGCCCGTACAGCTCCACGGTGACCTCGCGCGTGTAAGCCACGACCCAGCTGCCCGCGCGGTGCTCGTTCTTCACCTTCACGCTCCAGTCGGCGCCCGAGCACGGCTGCGAAAAAGCAAAAAGGCAAGAGGGCCGAGGCAATGGAGCACCGCCGCCGCCGCTGTCGCTGGCGGGGGGGGGGGGAGGGGGGCGAGGGCCGCCCGCACCGCCGCTCCGCCACGCGCACTAAAACACACAGAGGCCCCACCGCGTGGCCTCAGCGGGCTGTCGGGGCAAGTGCCGGTAGCGAGCGAGCGCCTACGAAGGGCGGCAACGCGGCACACGAGGGGGTGGGTGGCCGGCAGCACGCCCGACCGCCTTTGAGTGGTGCGTTCCACGTTTTAACGGAGCGGCGCGTTCCACGTTTTAACGGAGCGGCGTGTTCCACGTTATAACGGAGCGGCGTGTTCCACGTTATAACGAAGCGGCGTGTTCCACGTTATAACGGAGTGGCGTGTTCCACGTTTTAACGGAGCAGTGTGTTCCACGTTTTAACGGAGTGGTGTGTTCCACGTTACAACGTAGCGGCGTGTTCTACGTTATAACGGAGCGGCGTGTTCTACGTTATAACGGAGCGGCGTGTTCCACGTTACAACGTAGCGGCGTGTTCTACGTTATAACGGAGTGGCGTGTTCTACGTTATAACGGAGCGGCGTGTTCCACATCACGACGGCGTGTGCGTTGCGCCAAAAGGCGTTCCTCAATGGAAGAAGAACCGCGTCGCGAAGCTAAACGTTGTGTTTACTTCTTACCGGTGGCCGGGGTGGGGGGTGGGCGGGGGAGGAGCTAAGACGGGAGTTAGTCACTGCTCCGCACGACCTAAACTGACGGCAGTATAAGTCGCATTTGCCCTCCTCCGAAACGAAACCAACCACCCCCCCCCCCCCGCACCTTCCAGCTGCTCGCCGTCTCTAAGTGTGCCGGGCAGCGAGCGCCAATCTCCTCCCCTTAGCCCAGAGGCCCCCGCAGGGAGCACCGGGTTGGGACTTCGGGTCATCCCGCGGAAAAAAAAATATCCGTCACCCCTTCCTACCCCTCCCTCGTTACGCTCCGTAAGCGTTTTTTTTTTTTAACCGGGCCTTTTGCAAAGTAGAAAACGAAATCAAAAGCAGGGGACTTCGCGCACACACGCTCAACCTGAAGGCGCACTCCCTTCGGGTGGGGACGCGCTGGCCACCGGGTGTCTCACCTGCGTGAGCACGTACGTGTACGTGCCCTGGAAGTCGAACTTGCGTCCGTCGAACGTCGTGTAGTGGGGGTCGCCCCACGCGGTGCACTCCACTGGCGAGACACAAAGCGGCCCGGGGGCATCAGAGACCGACCGCGGTGTGTACGTGCGCGTACACGGGGGCGGAGCCGGGGGACGACATTCTGCGTGTGAGCGTACGACACTCGGTCTGGCGGACTCCTCCGTGCCGACTGCACTGTCAGGGCGTCCGTCGCCAAACGATGGCGTCCGGTTCAACGGCCCGGCTCTCCGGATCATTCCTGAAATTCTAATTTGCCGAAAAGTCACCCCGGCCTGAAATCCTGGCTCCGCCCCTTCGCGTAACACTCCACGGTCGAGCGTACGTAGCAGCCAACCGTGCTGGTCGGAGGTGCGGAGGGAAGGCCAACAAACTGAACACGACAAAAGGCAGCGCCGCAGAAACGAGTTCGTCGATCGAGATGATGATGATGATGATGATTTATAGTGCGTGGCTCAAGTTGCTTCATCATATCAGAAGGAAGGGGGCATCTGAAAGCGCCGCGCGATGCGCTGAACGTCTTTGGTCGATTGTCAAACAAAAGCCGCTGCGAGGATGACCGGAGTTTGCGCGACGGTTTCCGCTCCTTGACGAGATCAGCGAGGTCTGGCTGTGGTTTCTCACGTGTCTTGTGGTGACTATGGCTGTGGTTACTCACAAATCTTGGGGTGACTATGGCTGTAGTTGCTCACACGTCTTGGGGTGACTATGGCTGTGGTTACTCCACCATCTTGGGGTGACTATGGCTGTAGTTGCTCACACGTCTTGTGGTGACTATGGCTGTGGTTGCTCACGTGTCTTGGGGTGACTATGGCCGTGGTTGCTCACGTGTCTTGGGGTGACTATGGCTGTGGTTACTCCACCATCTTGGGGTGACTATGGCTGTAGTTGCTCACACGTCTTGTGGTGACTATGGCTGTGGTTGCTCACGTGTCTTGGGGTGACTATGGCTGTGGTTGCTCACGTTTCTTGGGGTGACTATGGCTGTAGTTGCTCACACATCTTGGGGTGGCTATAGCTGTAGTTTCTCACATATCTTGTGGTGACTATGGCTGTAGTTGCTCACGTGTCTTGGGGTGACTATGGCTGTAGTTGCTCACGTGTCTTGGGGTGACTATGGCTGTAGTTACTCACGTGTCTTGGGGTGACTATGGCTGTAGTTGCTCACACGTCTTGGGGTGACTATGGCTGTGGTTACTCACACATCTTGGGGTGACTATGGCTGTAGTTGCTCACGTGTCTTGGGGTGACTATGGCTGTGGTTGCTCACACGTCTTGTGGTGACTATGGCTGTGGTTGCTCACACATCTTGGGGTGACTATGGCTGTAGTTGCTCACGTGTCTTGGGGTGACTATGGCTGTAGTTACTCACGTGTCTTGGGGTGACTATGGCTGTAGTTACTCACGTGTCTTGGGGTGACTATGGCTGTAGTTGCTCACGTGTCTTGGGGTGACTATGGCTGTGGTTACTCACGTGTCTTGGGGTGACTATGGCTGTAGTTGCTCACGTGCCTTGGGGTGACTATGGCTGTGGTTGCTCACACATCTTGGGGGTGACTATGGCTGTAGTCACTGACGTATCTCGGAATTACCATGGCCATCGGTGACCCCGTGTGCATGCTGCGGGCTGACCGCGGCTGCAGTGACTCACAGATCTTGGGCTGGCAGCCGTAGTCCCCCTGGGGCCCGGCGCCGCAGTAGTTCAGCGTCAGGTCACAAGGGTTCTTCTGGCACTGGATGTTGCCCGAGGACACGCACGTGCACTGAGCGGAGCAGCCGTTCTTCCAGAACACATCAGCCACCTGAACGGACACACGCACAGAGACAGAGCTCCAGCGCGAGGCGGCTGACCGTCTGACGACGCCAGTTGAAACTCCCGGCCCCAACTCGGTCCGTACCCAATTGCCGTGTGTTTCGTGGACCGCCCTGCAACGGCACACCAGCGCGCTCTGCAATGTTACCGGTGCTCTCCGCAGAGCCACCGGATGTTCGCAGCGCAGCACCAAACATTGCTCGGCCGCTCCTCCTCCTCCTGCCCCTACCTCCTCCTCCACACAGCGACCCCCCCCGTGTAGCCTGTAAAGAGGCTGTTAGGGGCAAGTGCTGTTCGTAGCGAGAACCCAGCGCCGATGAAGGCCGGCACGGTGGCACGCAAGGGTGCGGGTGGCCACCACCGTGCCCACCCGGCCGCCTTTGACCTCCACACACGCTCTCTGCTATCACCTCTCCTTCGCATTGCACTCGACCCTCCTGCACACGCGCTCTCCGCATTCAGAAACGAAGGTGTTCTGTCTTAGCCGCGGGTCGACGTTTGCTCAGTGGGAGGTCGCTCATTTCTCCGCCGCTGCCCCCTATTTTTCTGGAATTCCTTCCTCCCGGTCATCCGTGCTGTCGGCTCCCTTGCCCCTGCTCGAGCCCAAGAGCAAGATCTTCCCAATTTTCAACTGCCAACGGCCTATACACCGACCGCCCCTTTCATCCCTCCGTACAACAGGCCTCGTGCTCCCCCTGCAGCGTCTTCGTGAGCGATGGGACGGCCGCCGTTCCCGCGTCACCCCGGCCCCACGTCCTCCCGCCCAGCCTGAGGCGGCAGGAGCTCGCCGCGCTCGCTCACCTTGTAGTACTTGCCGTCGCCGTCCTTGCAGCCGCACAGCGCCGGGGCGACGCACTCGTCCCCGTCCCACACGTGGGCCGGGTCAAGGCACTCGCAGGTCTCGCCGCAAGCGTCGGCGCAGTCCGCCGGGGCGCCGGGGTCGTAGCACGTGGCCGGGCACGCGCTGCCGCAGTCCTTGAAGGCCGCGCTCGCTCCGCAGTCCACGTCTTTGGCGGAAGAGCGGATGGGGGATGGGGGGACGGGGGAGGGAATATGTCGGTGACGAAGGTTTGCTTGGCTGCCCTTCCCATTCGCCTGTGGCTTACCGTGCCCCTGAATCATTCCATGCTCTCTCTCTCTGTCTCTCTCTCCCCCTGTCGTGTGTGTGTGTTGCACTTGTTTTGCACTGCGCGTAGCCAAACGCACTCAGCGGAGCTGTGCTCGGCGGACAACAAGCTCAACGCGGAAAGCAGTTCCACATTTAAGTTTCGATTTAAAGCTTTCGTGACTGCAAGGATTCATCTTCGTTGGTTCTTTCGGTAAAGTCACCACCACCACGTAGAATGAGAAGAAAATAATAAAATGAAATAAGACGATAAAATTCTCACGACGTTTCGGCCACAACACAAGCGGCCTTCCTCAGGTGATGAAACAGGTCTGTCTCCTGGATATTCTCACGACGTTTCGGCCACAACACAAGCGGCCTTCCTCAGGTGATGAAACAGGTCTGTCTCCTGGATAGACCTGTTTCTTCACCTGAGGAAGGCCGCTTGTGTCGTGGCCCGAAACGTCGTGAGAATTTTATCGTCTTATTTTAATTTGATCATTTTATTCCCATTCTACGTGACTCTACCGAAAGAACAAAAAGAAGACAGTTCCACAGTAATAGGCTATAAATTTTGCTGACTTTAAAAGTGCGCGGCTCCAGCGGCTTCCGGATATCGGAAACCGAAGAGCGTTCCAGACGGCCGCGGAAGCGCGTCTGTTGGCGACCGCCGCCGCCGTGACCGCCGCCGCGACCAGAGCCCACGCGACGGCTTTGTGCTTCCCTGACGAGGAGGGCAGCGAGGCGGCATCCCGCATCATTTGGGGCAAGCTGCCTCGCATGCGAGCAACGGGGGCGCCGCGGGGGGAGTTTGAGTTTGGGGGCAACGTACGGCACTTGGTGGCGTTCCTCCAGTCGGGCGCGAAGGCGACGCCCTGGTCGTAGCAGAGCTTCACGTAAGCCTGCACCGCCTGGCAGAGGACGGCAACGTCCAGCTTGGCGAGCACGAGGTCGTAGACGCAGTCGGCGTAGTGCGGCGCCGGGTCCACGGCGCCGAAGCACGGGGCCAGGGGGCTCGCCGGGTCCTTCAGGAGGCCGCAGTTGTCGCCGAAGCCCGCCTTGATCTGCCTCTGGGGGTCGAGGACGACGCCGACGGAGGCGCCCGTGTCGCTGCTCCCGCTGGACGGGGACACGGGGCGTGGTCAGCGACGGGCGATGTCGACCTTCGCTCCAGTGACCTGCTTCCGCTTCCTCCCTTAGAACAACCCCCCCCCCCCCCCCCCCCCCCCCGTGCTTTTGTTGCGTATCCCGTACTGCCGCTGCTGTTACTCCATGATTCCCACCCCCCAGCTACGACCAGGCCTACCCCAACGCCAATCACTACCCCAATCACTACCCCTACTACTACCCCTACCACTACCCCTACCACTACCCCCCTAACTACCACTACTCCAACTCCTATCACCACCCCCATCACTACCCCTACCACTACCCCTACCACTACTCCAACCCCTATCACCACCCCTATCACTACCCCTATCACTACCCCTACTCCAACCCCTATCACCACCCCTATCACTACCCCTATCACTACCCCTACCACTACTCCAACCCCCATCACCACCCCTATCACTACCCCTATCACTACCCCCATCACTACCCCAACGCCAATCACTACCCCCATCGCTACCCCTATCACTACCCCTACCACTACTCCAACCCTTATCACCACCCCTATCACTACCCCTATCACTACCCCTATCACTACCCCTACCACTACTCCAACCCTTATCACCACCCCTATCACTACCCCTATCACTACCCCAACGCCTATCACTACCACTACCCCAACCCCTATCACCACCCCTGTCACTACCTCAACCCCTATCACCACTCCTATCACTGCCCCTAACACTACCCCTACCACTACCCCAACCCCTATCACCACCTTAATAACTACCCCTACCCCTATCACCACCTCTATGACTATAACAACCCCTATCACCACCTCTATAACTACCCAAACCCCTATCACCACCTCTATAACTACCCCAACCCCTATCACCACCCCTATCACCACCCCTATCACCACCCCTATCGCGACCCCAGCGGGTCCGGTACAGCAGGCAGGGTCACCGCGAGCCGGCGGGTCAAACCCGGGAGCAGATTTGAACCCATCACTGATCCGGGCTCGATAGGACGGAGCAGGATTGTCTGCGGGTGACCCTTGAAAGACGAAGGAGCAGGCAGGGGGGTGCAGGTCTCCCGTCGTATGCTGCTGTGCACGAACGCAATCGTCGCTGCCCAAGCGCCCGCCCGCCCGCCCGCCTACCTCTCCTTGATCTTCCTTTCAGGCAGCTCCCAGCTGTTGCCGAACTCGGCCGCGGTGGCCGCCAGGGTGAGGTTGGGCATCAGGAAGTCGTCGTTGGGGTCGCTGTTCCACGTCCCGCACAGGCCGCACACGGAGTTGTAGTAGACGTCATAGTTGAGGAGGTGGACCTCCACGCGGCTGATTCCTGGGTGGGGTGGGGGGTGGGGTGCCGGATTATCGAGCGGGCATCGTACGTGCGAACCATTTGGTTATCCGTGCCCCCTGTCCAGACGTCGATTTCCCCAGCAAAGCCCGCAGAATTGAGAAGCTCTTTTTCAACGGGGAGGCGACTCGGTCGGCAGACAACATCGAAGCATTCAACATCTGCACGCCCGCTCACGCACTCGCTCACCCACCCACCCACTCACTCTCCCACTCACTCTCCCACTCACACAAACAACAACCGCCATTCGCCACTAAGTGGCGGCGATGTCACCACCGCGGCGCTTGCGCCAGGCCATGTGCACGTTGAGGCCACGCAAAGCGTCGAACGCCCGCCGGCAGGAGGTCACGGGGCAGACACCAGCAGGCGCCTTTGGACGACTGACTGAGATGACTACTGGCCGATACACCACCTGTGCTCCCCCTGCTGTGCCAGGCTAGGTGCAGGAGGTCACGGGCACGGACTCTGCAGGTGCCATGGGTCGACTGACGGAGAAGACTACTGGCCGATGCGCCATCCCTGTGCCCCCCCCCCCCCCTACTGTGCCAACTCGGCCACTTTCACGCACATGGGCGGGGCACGGATCATCGCATCTGCTTGACGCGCAACGTCTGCATTTGCTGGGGTCACAGTCGGTGGTCATCCGTAGCAACTCGTGACGTTACGCTAACCAATGTTACATTCGGGACAAGAGTCGCGTGTGCTGGTGGTCCACGTCTCACAAGCGCACAGAGCGGGGCGTCATTGTGGCCAAGTGGAGGTCCCCGGGCTGATTTGCTTTTCGTCGAGCGACCGATTGGCCCAGCAGGGGCAGAGCTCCCACCCGGGGGAGTTGACTCGCGCGGCAACCGACCGCGAGCGAGACCTCCGCTGTCGCCGAACGGGAGACGGTCGCGAGCGCACTGCGCAAAAGCACGAGGAGGAGCTCCTGCGCCCTTCTGCACTACGAAAGCCGGCGACCCGGGTTCGATTCCCTCTCACGGCCAACACCGGTGACGATTACCCGTAACCGGTCCCGGACCTCCCCTAAGTCTGCTCAGCTTCAGATGAGCACCTGGTGCTCATCTGATATATGCAGCCGAACATACCATTGTAGGAGACGCTGAGGAAGGCGTTGGTCCAGAGAAGGAAATCGTTCTTGGACAGCGTGATCCGGAACCTCTCCGCCGGGTCGTAGTAGGGCACGTTGACGACGAGGCCGTCGAGCTTCGCAGGAGGTCGACATTCGAAGGAGATGACGGAGGAGAAACTAAATGACGCGTCGAGGTCAAGACGGGTACATCGCAGCAAAGGCATCGGCAGCGTCGCCGGGACCTACGATTCCAACAAATCTCGCGAGAGCGGTTCCCGATCTCCGCCAGTCTCCCGCACCGGCATCGTCACCCCGACCCTCGGTTAGCGACGATTGCGCGAGAGCGCATCTCATCCCCCGCGGGTCACCCACAATCGGTGTCTACGCCTCTGTATGAGAAACGAAACAGGAGGACTTCTCCACAAATCTGGCTGTCGCTACTTAGACTGTAAATGTTGTGGCTTGGCTCTCCAACACACCGGTGTGCTGTTCTAGTATACTACACTATACACTACACTAATATACACTACACTACTATACACTACACTATACAGTACTATACACTACACTATACACTATACTACTATACACTACACACTACACAACTATACACTACATTACTATACACTACACTATACAGTACTATACACTACACTATACACTACACTATACACTACTATACACTGCACTAGACAGTACTATACACTACAATACACACTACACTATACACTACACTATACACTACACTATACACTACACTATACACTACACTACTATACACTACACTACTATACACTACACTATACAGTACTATACACTACACTATACACTACACAACTATACACTACATTACTATACACTACACTATACAGTACTATACACTACACTATACACTACACTACACACTACACTATACACTACACTATACACTACACTATACACTACACTACTATACACTGCACTACTATACACTACACTATACAGTACTATACACTACACTATACACTACACAACTATACACTACATTACTATACACTACACTATACAGTACTATACACTACACTATACACTACACTACACACTACACTATACACTATACACTACACAATGCACTACACACTAGCGCTGTACTTGTGACGGATTGGCCACGTTCCGTCTACGCGGTAAACCCTCACTGGTTGGCTGCTTCGGGGTGGTGGCGGGTTTCAGTGGCACAACATCCCTACATTCACGCGACCTAACCCCGACAACGACGGAAACCTCTATCATGGGGTGGGCGGGGGGTTGGTGGTCCGTGGTCCTTTGCCCACCCCCCCCCCCCATCCGCGACGAGCGAGCGCACGTACCAGGACTTTGCGGTCGCGGATGAAGGAGACGGTGTGGTTGTAGATCTCGGTGTGCACCTCGCGCGTCCACGACACGTCGGCGCGCCGCCGGTGCTCGTTCTTGGCGAGGACGCGCCACGGCACCGGCAGGTTGGAGACGCAGTTGGAGGCGAGGACGAAGGTTCGCGTGCCCATGAAGTTGAAGTGGTTGCCGTCGAAGGAGCGGTAGTGGGGGTCGCCCACGCCGTGGCACCAGGCTGCGGGCGGGCGGGTTGGGGACGGCGGGGGGAAGGGGGTCGGAGTCGGGGGCGGGCGGGCGGGCGAGCGGGCGAGCGGTGGCACAGCGGTTAGCGCTCCACGCCGGCCCCCCCCCCCCCGCCCCCCCCCGCCCCCCCCCCCGCCCCCCCGCCCCCCACCCAAGCGGAGACCCGAGTTCGATTCCTGCTTGCGGCCCACCCACCGCCGATATCAGTGGTTAGGAAAAGGAACAAGGAAAGAACAAGAAAACTCCGCAGGAGGAGGAGGAGTGCTGAACATTGGCCAGCAGAATGTTGAGACAGGGTGGGATACGGACGGCGTTTGGCTGGAGGTCGCAGTCATACCGGCACCGTCAAGAGCTGAGCCTTTTGTCAACCGCCCCGCGAGTTCAACCCCTCCATCCTTCATCCCCTCCTCCTCTTCCTCCTCCTCTCCCTCGTCCCCCACCTCCCCCTCCCTCCTCCTCCTCCTCCTCCTCCTCCTCCTCCTCCTCCTCCTCCTCCTCCTCCTCCTCCTCCTCTTCCTCCTCCTCCTCCTCCTCCTCCTCCTCTTCCTCCTCCTCCTCCTCCTCCTCCTCTTCCTCCTCCTCCTCCTCCTCTTCCTCCTCCTCTCCCTCTTCCCCCACCTCCCCCTACCTCCTCCTCCTCTTCTTCCTCCTCTCCCTCTTCCCCCACCTCCCCCTACCTCCTCCTCTTCCTCCTCCTCTCCCTCGTCCCCCCCCCTCCCTCCCCCTCCTCCTCCTCCTCCTCCTCCTCCTCTCCCCCAACTCCCCTTACCTCCTCTTCCTCCTCCTCTCCCTCTTCCCCCACCCTCCCCCTCACTCCTCCTCCTCCTCCTCCATCCTCCATCCTCCATCCTCCCCATTCCCCCGCGCCGCAATCTACCCCCCCCCTCCCCCTTCCCCTCCCACCAACCCCACCGACCCCCTTCCCGCTCACCGTAGACCTTCTTCTTCAGCCGGAAGCGCCAGTCCTTCTTGACGCGCGCGTTCGTGTTGGTGACGGCCACGCCGCCGACGACGCCCCTCATGGCGCCCTCGTCCACCGTGATGTAGTGCTCCACGCCGCCGTTGAAGACCGACGCCGGGCTCGTGAACTGCGCCTGGGTGTTGCCCGCGATCAGCGTGGCGCTCATCCCGTCCACCTTGAAGACCTCGCGGTCGCCCCGCACCTCGAAGAAGCGGAAGAAGGCGCCGCTCGCCGACGGAAGGGCGACCTGCGTGGACGGACCGGACCCGGCAGGGGGTTGGTCAACCGATCGCCGCTCCGGCGATAGGCGCTAGCCGACAGCGCAGATGCGGGGCGACACCTGGCCATGTCTGGTGTGGACCGATCAGTTTCAAAGACAACGGCATTGTATACTACCAGAGCCATGTGTTTTCTTTTTTGCACGTTTACCGCAAGCACATGTGGCTAATGCAGACAATATTCTTTAAAAAAAAAAAAAGGAATTCTGCTTGGTGCTTTAACATCTTTAAACAAACTCTTTTATTGCCGTAAAGGGTAAACCCTCTCGTTGCGGCAACGCTCCATCTATGAAGTGTTCTTCCGAAGGGGCGTTTGGGTTCCCGCGATAACGACCGGACACACGTCCCTTCAGCCTCCACGTCACGCAACACCTCAGCTCAGCGCCTCAGCATGGAGGTTGGGGAGACAAAGGCGGCCGGGCGTGGTGTTGGCCACCCCTCACCCTCTCGAGGGACCACTGTGCCGGTAGCCTCTGAAGGCGCCGCTACTTGCTAACGCAGGGGTGGGGAACGTCGGGGCCCCGCGTGCCGTATGAGGCCCGCGAAATCATTTGGGTCTCTGGCCCTGCCAAGGCAACCGCAGGCGGGACTCGAGATTCAATAAATCTAGGGGCAAACCTGGAAAAGCAGTTGCGAGTAGCAGCAACATCGTCAAAACCAGCTAACATCACCAATACCAGCTAACATCAATACCAGCTAACATCGCCAACACCAGCTAACATCATCAATACCAGCTGACATCGCCAATACCAGCTAACATCATCAATACCAGCTAACATCATCAATACCAGCTAAAATCAATACCAGCTAACATCATCAATACCAGCTAACATCATTAATACCAGCTAACATCGCCAACACCAGCTAACATCATCAATACCAGCTGACATCGCCAATACCAGCTAACATCATCAATACCAGCTAACATCAATACCAGCTAACATCATCAATACCAGCTAACATCATCAATACCAGCTAACATCGCCAACACCAGCTAACATCACCAATACCAGCTAACATCATCAATACCAGCTAACATCACCAATACCAGCGAACATCATCAATACCAGCTAACATCACCAATACCAGCGAACATCATCAATACCAGCTAACATCATTAATATCAGCTAACATCAATACCAGCTAACATCACCAATACCAGCTAACATCATCAATACCAGCTAACATCATCAATACCAGCAAACATCATCAATACCCAGCTAACATCATCAATACCAGCTAACATCACCAATACCAGCTAACATCACCAATACCAGCTAACATCGTCAATACCAGCTAACATCATCAATACTAGCTAACATCACCAATACCAGCTCACATCACCAATACCAGCTAACATCACCAATACCAGCGAACATCATCAATACCAGCTAACATCATTAATACCAGCTAACATCAATACCAGCTAACATCACCAATACCAGCTAACATCATCAATACCAGCTAACATCATCAATACCAGCTAACATCATCAATACCCAGCTAACATCATCAATACCAGCTAACATCACCAATACCAGCTAACATCACCAATACCAGCTAACATCGTCAATACCAGCTAACATCATCAATACCAGCTAACATCACCAATACCAGCTCACATCACCAATACCAGCTAACATCACCAATACCAGCTAACATCACCAATAGCCAGCTAACATCACCAATACCAGCTAACATCACCAATAGCCAGCTAACATCACCAATACCAGCTAACATCGTCAATACCAGCTAACATCATCAATACCCATCTAACATCACCAATACCCAGCTAACATCATCAATACCAGCTAACATCACCAATACCAGCTAACATCATCAAATACCCAGCTAACATCGTCAATACCAGCTAACATCACCAATACCCAGCTAACATCACCAATACCAGCTAACATCATCAATACCAGCTAACATCACCAATAGCCAGCTAACATCATCAAATACCCAGCTAACATCGTCAATACCAGCTAACATCACCAATACCCTGCTAACATCATCAAATACCCAGCGAACATCGTCACCACGCCTCGCCAAAGAGAAGCGGGTTCCAGCCATCGCGTTAGGGTTGAGTTTTATTAAAATGTCTGACCAAAAATAACGGGCTATATTTTCGAAGTTGATCATTTTGTATGGCCCACGAATGATGTCTTCTAAATATCCAAATGGCCCTTGGCAGAAGAAAGGTTCCCCCACCCCTGCGCTAACGGCGCTTGCGCTCAAACGGTCTGTTACAATCTACATTTGAAGTTTCCGTGACTGCAGCAATCCACAGTCTTTGGTTCTTTCGGCAAAGTCACCACGCGGTGGGCATGAAATGAAATGAAATCACGTGACGTTTCGGGAGCAACAACACAAGCGTCCGTCATCAGGTGGGACAACCACAGCCAGAAACAATTGCTGAAGTGGGCAAGATAGCTGCTGTGACAAGAGGCTCAATAGGTAAGAGAAAGGGGGGTAGGAGCCAGGAGAGGAGAGATAGAGAGAGGGGTGGGGGGAAGTGAGCGGGCTGCGGTGATGAGGGGGGGGATGGTGGGATCATCTTTGTCTTTAGGAGGGGTAACCCCCCCCCCCCCACAGCATCTGCTCGCTCATCAATTCTAGATTTGAAGCTTTCGTGACTGCAAGGATCCACACACCTTGGTTCTATTCGGTTAAAGTCACCACGTAGGTAAAAAAAGTAAAACAACAAAAAATCACACGACGTTTCGGCCACAACACAAGCGGCCTTCATCAGGTGAAGGGGACCAGGCCGTCCAGAGGACAGCGCTGGAGTGAAACACAGAGCCACGCTCAGACCGCGACCTTTAAGCTGTGTGAGAGTAATCAAGGTGCCTTGACAAAGGAATTAGCATATGCATTAAAATGCTAATTTTTTTAATGCTAATTCCTTTGTCAAGGCACCTTAATTACTCTCACACAGCTTAAAGGTCGCGGTCTGAGCTTGGCTCTGTGTTTCACTCCAGCGCTGTTCTCGAGACAGCCTGGTCCCCTTCACCTGATGAAGGCCGCTTGTGTTGTGGCCGAAACGTCGTGTGATTTTTGTCGTTTTTATTTTTTTTACCCACGTGGTGACTTTACCGAACAGAATCAAAGAGTGTGCTCGCTCGTCGCCCCGGCTGCGACGGACAAACCCGCGCCGGCGAACTGACCTCCCCCGAGAAGGTGACGGTCCATCCGATGGCCACGTTGTTGAACGTGAGCGGGGTGCTGTAGGCGTAAGCAATTGGCTCCACGGTGGCTGCGAGGGATGGGACGACGACACGGAACGACACCCCTCAATGATCGCCGCGATCATCGTCGAGAGCGACAGGGGTCACTGGCCGCTCACGGCGACAGGTTCCCAGCAGCTGAGTGAGCAAACGCATTTGCCGGGCCTGGTGTGCACGGCGGATTGGGCTTGATCCTGTTGCATATTTGGAGTTTGGGTGTCTCTCTCTCCCCTCTCTCTCTCTCCAGAGCCGGATTAAGGTTCCTGCAGTGCCCCTAGGCCACTTCTATTTCGTTACGCTTTGAGTGATAATTCACTGCGTGACAAAAATGGTTTTGGTTTTTCGCTCCTGGGTAGTAAAGTGTTATTTTCTAATCGCTTAAGACTCAAAAGTGCAGAAAGTGGCTATTATTATTACCCACGAAACTTTGCGTTTGTGAGCAGGGCACAAAGGCAGGGTTAATAATCCACTCCATTAATAACACGAGTCACTCACGTGACTTTACCGAAATAACCAAAGAGTATGGGATTCCTGCAGTCAAGGAAGCTTCAAATCAAGATCTGTGTAACGCATTTATTTATTTATTTTGTTCCTGGGTAGTAAAGTGTTATTTTACCTAATTGCTCATGCCTCAAATGGCTGTTATTATCATTATCCACGAAACTTTGCGTTTGTGACCAGGACATTGATATTTTGAAATGTACATATTTTCAATGAGAAAACGTGGTGTGCATTCGCGTCATTCATTCACGTAGATGCATAAGCAATTCGAAAACAACACTTACTACCCAGCAACAAAAATCTCCTTTGCATAGCCAATTGCATATAACTTTCCAACAGTTCGTACTGCTGACGCTGACCACCCACGTCACCGCTTCCGACCCCGCCCCCAGCACGCCGCCGCCCAATCGGATCGTCCAACGGACGATTTGAAAACCAAATCCGTGTGGCTACTCCTTCAAAGCAGTCGATTGGTTATCGAATTCTAGATTTGAAGCTTTCGTGCCTGCAAGGATCCATACATAACTCGTTGGTTCTATTCGGTAAAGTCACGTAGGTAACAAAATAAAATAACAAAAATTATTTTTTGTTAAAAATGATTTTTGTTAAAAATTATTTTTGTTATTTTATGATTTTTTGTTAAAAATGATTTTTGATATTTTATTTTTTTACCTACGTGACTTTACCGAATAGAACCAAAGAGTTATGGTTATCGAATCTCGAACGACGAACTCCAAACACACAGGCGTCGTCTGGGTCACGATCGAACCCACGACCTCCCTATCACACCCTCACCCTCCCCCATTGAGATGTATCTCCATGGGGGAGAGAGAGGGGGGAGGAGGGGTGGGAGTTCCCGTTATTCGTCGTTTTGTTATAAGGGGCCGTCCATAAATGACGTCACGCACCTGTGCGGCGGCGGGGGGGGGGGTCAGACATTTGTGACGATGTGTGACGAGGGGGGGGGGGTTGTTTGAAAGATGTGACGTCACACCAAAATGCGCAACTTTATATAAATATAGACAACACGTTCTACTGAATTAAATAGACTTTTTGGTTCAATGTTTCATCCTACAACATCAGAGTGCAGCGCCACGTTAAATACGCACTACAATGACAATAGTTTAAAGCGATTTGAAGCATGTTTTTTTTTATTTTTAGGGGGGAGGGGGGGGGGCAGAGCTTTGTGACGTCATATTTGAGGGGTGGGGTCTGACTTTTCGCGTGACGTCATTTATGGACGGCCCCTAAGTCGCGAATTGTTTATAGTTTAGTTGTTGTTGTGTGAGTGTGTGTGTAAGTGTGTGTGTGAGTGTTTGTGTGTGTGAGTGTGTGTGTGTAAGTGTGTGTTTGTGTGTGTTTGTGTGTGTTTGTGAGTGTGTGTTTGTGTGTGTGTGTTTGTGTGTGAGTGTGTGTGAGTGTGTCTTTGTGTGAGTGTTTGTGTGTGTGAGTGTGTGAGTGTTTGTGTAAGTGTGTGTGTGTTTGTGTAAGTGTGTGTGTGTGAGTGTGTGAGTGTGTGTGAGTGTGTGAGTGTGTGTTTATGTGAGTGTGTGTTTGTGTGAGTGTGTGTTTGTGTGAGTGTTTGTGTGTGTGAGTGTGGGTGAATGTGTGTTTGTGTGAGTGCGTGTTTGTGTGTGTGTTTGTGTGTGTTTGTGTGAGTGTGTGTTTGTGTGTCTTTGTGTGAGTGTGTGTTTGTGTGAGTGTGTGTTTGTGTGAGTGTTTGTGTGTGTGAGTGTGTGTGAACGTGTGTTTGTGTGAGTGCGTGTTTGTGTGTTTGTGTGAGTGTTTGTGTGTGAGTGTGTGTGAGTGTGTGTTTGTGTGAGTGTGTGTTTGTGTAAGTGTGTGTTTGTGTGTGTTTGTGTGAGTGTGTGTTTGTGTGTCTGTGTGTGTCTGTGTGAGTGTGTGTTTGCGTGTGTGTGAGTGTGTGTTTGTGTGTTTGTGTGAGTGTGTTTGTGTGAGTGTTTGTGTGTGTGTGTGAGTGTGTGAGAGTGTGTGTTTGTGTGTGTATTTGTGTGTGTGTGAGTGTATGTGAGTGTGTGTTTGTGGGTGTGTGTGTGTTTGTGTGTGTTTGTGTGTTTGTGTGTGTGTTTGTGTGAGTGTGTGAGTGAGTGTGTGAGTGTGAGTGTGTGTGTTTGTGTTAGTGTGTGAGTGTGTGTTTGTGTGTGTGAGTGTGTTTGTGTGTGTGTGTGTGTTTGTGTTTGTGTGTGTGTGTTTGTGTGTGTGAGTGAGTGTGTTTGTGTGTGAGAGTGTGTATTTGTGTGTGTGAGTGTGTGTGTGTGAGTGTGTGTGTTTGTGTGAGTGTGTGTGTGTTTGTGTGAGTGTGTGTGTTTGTGTGAGAGTGTGTTTGTGTGAGTGTGTGTGTTTGTGTGTGTGTTTGTGTGTGTGTGTTTGTGTGAGTGTGTGTTTGTGTGAGTGTGTGTGTGTGTGAGTGTGTGTTTGTGTGTGTGTGCGTATGTGTGTGTTTGTGTGTGTGTTTGTGTGTGTGTGTGTTTGTGTGTGTGTGTTTGTGTGTTTGTGTGTGTGTGAGTGAGTGTGTTTGTGTGTGTCTGTGAGTGTGTGTGTGTTTGTGTGTTTGTGTGAGTGTGTGTGTTGGTGTGTTTGTGTGAGTGTGTGTGCGTGTGTGAGTGTGTGTGTTTGTGTGTGTGAGTGTGTGTGAGTGTGTGTGCGTGTGTGTGTGTGAGTGTGTGAGCGTGTGTGTGTTTGTGTGTGTTTGTGTTTGTGTGTGTGTGTTTGTGTGAGTGTGTGTTTCTGTGTGTGTCTGAGTGTGTGTGTTTGTGTGTGTGTGAGTGTGTGTGTTTGTGTGTGTGTGTTTGTGTGTGTGTCAGTGAGTGTGTTTGTGTGTGAGTGAGTGTGTTTGTGTGTGTGTGTGTGTTTGTGTGTGTGTGAGTCTGTGTGTGTGTGAGTGTGTGTGTTTGTGTGTGTGTGAGTCTGTGTGTGTGTTTGTGTGAGTGTGTGTGTTTGTGTGTGTGAGTCTGTGTGTGTGTTTGTGTGAGTGTGTGTGTTTGTGTGTGTGTTTGTGTGTGTTTGTGTGTGTGTGAGTGTGTGTGTTTATGTGTGTGTTTGTGAGTGTGTGTTTGTGTGTTTGTGTGAGTGTGTTTGTGTGTTTGTGTGAGTGTGTGTGCGTGTGTCAGGCCTTACCTGACACTCTGACGGTCACGCAACGCAGCTCCGTCTCCAGCCTGATCCGTCCGGAGAAAGAGAGAGAGAGCATGAGAATCAAAAATCGGTACTTTAAATTGCAGGAGGAGAAATCCGATGTGCTATGAAGCTCTTTACACACAGATATCCAGTTAGGGGTGGGGGCACGGGGAAAGAAGTTACAAACAACGCACACACAATGCAAAAACACGATAGGAGTACAGAGTGCGATAAAGATAAACAAACCACGTTAAACAAAACGAATTTTAATTGTTACCAGGTAGGCCCCCACTGAGCTATGTGAGGGGCTCTTTTACGGACGCGACCCTGTGACATCACAAATGATGGAAACTCAACCGAGTGGCTGACGTCATCAACATCATCACCGTAACGTGGACATATACAGCAGCAGCAAAATTCTCTAAACACATAGAGATACACAGAGACCCATAGAGATACATACAGACCTGTAGCAATACATAGAGACCCACAGAGATACACAGAGACCCATAGAGATGCATACAGACCTGTAGTAATACATAGAGACCCATAGAGATACAAAGAGACCCATAGAGATACATACAGACCTGTAGTAATACAGAGGCCCATAGAGATACACAGAGACCCATAGAGATACATACAGACCTGTAGTAATACATAGAGACCCATCGAGATACACAGAGAACCATAGAGATACACAGAGACGCATAGAGATATACAGAGACCCATAGAGATACATACAGACCTGTAATAATACATAGAGACCCATAGAGATACACAGAGACCCATAGAGATACACAGAGACCCACAGAGATACACAGAGATCCATAGAGATACATTGAGACCCATAGAGATACACAGAGACCCATAGAGATACATACAGACCTGTAGTAATACAGAGACCCATAGAGATACACAGAGACCCATAGAGATACACAGAGACCCACAGAGATACACAGAGATCCATAGAGATACATTGAGACCCATAGAGATACACAGAGACCCATGGAGATACACAAAGACCCACAGAGATACACAGAGATCCATAGAGATACACAGAGACCCACAGAGATACACAGAGACCCATAGAGATACACAGAGACCCATAGAGAGAGATAGAGACCCACAGATATACATAGAGATCCATAGAGATACACAGAGACCCATAGAGACAAACAGAGACCCATAGAGATACATAGAGACCCATAGAGATACATTGAGACCCATAGAGATAGAGACCCATCGAGATATACAGAGACCCATATAGATACACAGAGACCCATAAAGATACACAGAGATCCATAGAGATATATAGAGACCCATAGAGATAGAGACCCATAGAGATACACAGAGACCCATGGGATACACAGAGACCCACGGAGATACATAGAGAAACATAGAGATACACAGAGACCCATGGAGATACACAGAGACCCACAGAGAAACACAGAGACCCATAGAGATACACAGAGACCCACAGAGATACATAGAGACCCATAGAGATACACAGAGACCCACAGAGATACACAGAGACCCATAGAGATACATTGAGACCCATAGAGATAGAGACCCATAGAGATACATAGAGACCCATAGAGATACACAGAGACCCACAGAGATACGCAGAGACCCATAGAGATACATTGAGACCCATAGAGATAGAGACCCATAGAGATACACAGAGACCCATAGAGACACAGAGACCCACAGAGATACACAGAGACCTATAGAGATACATACAGACCCATAGAGATACATACAGATCTATAGTAATACACAGAGACCCATAGAGATACATACAGACCCACACATGAAACGATTATTTTTGTTACCAGGTAAGGCCCCTACTGAGCTGCTTCATAGGAGCTCTTTAACACGTTAACAGTGGCGACCCTGGGCCATCACAAATGATGGCAGCTCAACCGAGTGCCTGCCAAATAAGTCGATTCCAAATGCGGAGGGGAAAAGCCCGCAGGGCACCCGGAGAAAGACAAAAACCACACGACAACCATGAGGAAAGAGAGAGAGAGGGGGAGAGAGCGAGAGAGGGAGACACGCAAACTCCAAATATAAAACGGGAGGCAGGGGCTTGATCGACCTCCAGCACAACAAGCAAGGTAGTTAACGCCTCCTAGCCACCGTGGAGTATTCACCGCGCCCATAGAGGCTCCTTGGGATGTTGTGTACGATGTATTGTTGCTAGGCGAGTGAGTGTGCTGCTAGGTGAGTGAGTGCGCTGCTACGCAAGTGAGTGTGCTGCTAGGTGAGTGAGTGTGCTGCTAGGTGAGTGAGTGTGCTGCTGGGTGACTGAGTGTGCTGCTGGGTGAGTGAGTGTGCTGCTACTCAAGTGAGTGTGCTGCTAGGTGAGTGAGTGTGCTGCTGAGTGAGTGAGTGTGCTGCTAGGTGAGTGAGTGTGCTGCTACGCAAGTGAGTGTGCTGCTAGGCGAGTGAGTGTGCTGCTAGGTGAGTGAGTGTGCTGCTAGGTGAGTGATTGGGCTGCTGGGTGAGTGAGTGTGCTGCTAGGTCAGTGAGTGTGCTGCTAGGTGAGTGAGTGTGCTGCTGGGTGAGTGAGTGAGCTGCTAGGTGAGTGAGTGTGCTGCTGGGTGAGTGAGTGTACTGCTAGGCAAGTGAGTGTGCTGCTAGGTGAGTGAGTGTGCTGCTAGGCGAGTGAGTGTGCTGCTAGGCGAGTGAGTGTGCTGCTAGGCGAGTGAGTGCGCTGCTGAGTGAGTGAGTGTGCTGCTGGGTGAGTGAGTGCGCTGCTGGGTGAGTGAGTGTGCTGCTAGGTGAGTGAGTGTGCTGCTAGGTGAGTGAGTGTGCTACTGGGTGAGTGAGTGTGCTGCTAGGTGGGTGAGTGCGCTGCTAAGCGAGTGAGTGTGCTGCTAGGTGAGTGAGTGTGCTGCTAGGTGAGTGAGTGTGCTGCTGGGTGAGTGAGTGCGCTGCTAGGTGAGTGAGTGTACTGCTAGGCAAGTGAGTGTGCTGCTAGGTGAGTGAGTGCCCTGCTAGACGAGTGAGTGCGCTGCTAGGTGAGTGAGTGTGCTGCTGGGTGAGTGAGTGCGCTGCTGGGTGAGTGAGTGTGCTGCTAGGTGAGTGAGTGTGCTGCTAGGTGAGTGAGTGTGCTGCTGGGTGAGTGAGTGTGCTGCTAGGTGGGTGAGTGCGCTGCTAAGCGAGTGAGTGTGCTGCTGGGTGAGTGAGTGTGCTGCTAGGCGAGTGAGTGTGGTGCTGGGTAAATGAGTGTACTGCTGGGTGAGGGAGTGTGCTGCTAGGTGAGTGAGTGTGCTGCTATGTGAGTGAGTGTGCTGCTGGGTTAGTGAGTGCACTGCTGGGTGAGTGCGCTGCTAGGCGAGTGAGTGTGCTGCTAGGAGAGTGAGTGCACTGCTGGGTGAGTGAGTGTGCTGCTAGGTGAGTGAGTGCGCTGCTAGGCGAGTGAGTGTGCTGCTAGGTGAGTGAGTGTGCTGCTTGGTGAGTGAGTGTGCTGCTAGGTGAGTGAGTGTGCTGATGGGTGAGTGAGTGTGCTGCTGGGTGAGTGCACTGCTAGGTGAGTGAGTGTGCTGCTAGGTGAGTGAGTGCGCTGCCGGGTGAGTGAGTGTGCTGCTGGGTGAGTGATGGTGCTGCTGGGTGAGTGAGTGTGCTGCTAGGTGAGTGAGTGTGCTGCTGGATGAGTGAGTATGCTGCTAGGTGAGTGAGTGTGCTGCTAGGTGAGTGAGTGTGCTGCTGGGTTAGTGAGTGCACTGCTGGGTGAGTGAGTGCGCTGCTAGGTGAGTGAGTGCGCTTCTAGGTGAGTGAGTGTGCTGCTGGGTGAGGGAGTGTGCTGCTGGGTGAGTGATGGTGCTGCTGGGTGAGTGAGTGTGCTGCTGGGTGAGTGAGTGTGCTGCTAGGTGAGTGAGTATGCTGCTAGATGAGTGAGTATGCTGCTAAGTGAGTGAGTGTGCTGCTAGGTGAGTGAGTGTGCTGCTGGGTTAGTGAGTGCACTGCTGGGTGAGTGAGTGCGCTGCTAGGCGAGTGAGTGCGCTGCTAGGTGAGTGAGTGTGCTGCTAGGTGAGTGAGTGCGCTACTAGGCAAGTGAGTGTGCTGATGGGTGAGTGAGTGTGCTGCTGGGTTAGTGAGTGTGCTGCTGGGTGAGTGAGTGTACTGCTAGGTGAGTGAGTGTGCTGCTAGGTGAGTGAGTGTGTTGCTAGGTGAGGAAGTGTACTGCTAGGCGAGTGAGTGCTCTGCTAGGCAAGTGAGTGTGCTGCTGGGTGAGTGAGTGTGCTGCTGGGTGAGTGAGTGTGCTGCCGGGTGAGTGAGTGTGCTGCTAGGTGAGTGAGTGTGCTGCTAGGTGAGTGAGTGTGCTGCCGGGTGAGTGAGTGTGCTGCTAGGTGAGTGAGTGTGCTGCCGGGTGAGTGAGTGTGCTGCTAGGTGAGTGAGTGTGCTGCTAGGTGAGTGAGTGTGCTGCTAGGTGAGTGAGTGCGCTGCTGGGTGAGTGAGTGCGCTGCTAGGCGAGTGAGTGTGCTGCTAGATGAGTGAGTGTGCTGCTAGGTGAGTGAGTGCGCTGCTAGGCGAGTGAGTGCGCTGCTAGGCGAGTGAGTCTGCTGCTAGGTGAGTGAGTGTGCTGCTAGGTGAGTGGGTGTGCTGCTAGGTCAGTGAGTGTGCTGCTAGGTGAGTGAGTGTGCTGCTAGGTGAGTGAGTGTGCTGCCGGGTGAGTGAGTGTGCTGCTAGGTGAGTGAGTGTGCTGCTGGGTGAGTGAGTGCGCTGCTAGGTGAGTGAATGCGCTGCTAGGTGAGTGAGTGCGCTGCTAGGCGAGTGAGTGCGCTGTTAGGCAAGTGAGTGTGCTGCTAGGTGAGTGAGTGCGCTGCCGGGTGAGTGAGTGCGCTGCCGGGTGAGTGAGTGTGCTGCTAGGTGAGTGAGTGTGCTGCTGGGTGAGTGAGTGTGCTGCTAGGTGAGTGAGTGTGCTGATGGGTGAGTGAGTGTGCTGCTGGGTGAGTGCACTGCTAGGTGAGTGAGTGTGCTGCTAGGTGAGTGAGTGCACTGCCGGGTGAGTGAGTGTGCTGCTGGGTGAGTGATGGTGCTGCTGGGTGAGTGAGTGTGCTGCTAGGCGAGTGAGTGTGCTGCTGGGTGAGTGAGTGCGCTGCTAGGTGAGTGAGTGTGCTGCTAGGTGAGTGAGTGTGCTGCCGGGTAAGTGAGTGCGCTGCTGGGTGAGTGAGTGTGCTGCTGGGTGAGTGATGGTGCTGCTGGGTGAGTGAGTGTGCTGCTAGGCGAGTGAGTGTGCTGCTGGGTGAGTGAGTGCGCTGCTAGGTGAGTGAGTGTGCTGCTAGGTGAGTGAGTGTGCTGCTAGGTGAGTGAGTGTGCTGCTAGGTGAGTGAGTGTGCTGCTGGGTGAGTGAGTGCACTGCTAGGTGAGTGAGTGTGCTGCCGGGTGAGTGAGTGCGCTGTTAGGCGAGTGAGTGCGCTGTTAGGCGAGTGAGTGTGCTGCTAGGTGATTGAGTGTGCTGCTGGGTGAGTGAGTGCGCTGCTAGGCGAGTGAGTGTGCTGCTGGGTGAGTGAGTGCGCTGTTAGGCGAGTGAGTGTGCTGCTGGGTGAGTGAGTGCGCTGCTAGGCGAGTGAGTGTGCTGCTAGGTGAGTGAGTGTGCTGCCGGGTGAGTGAGTGCGCTGCCGGGTGAGTGAGTGCGCTGTTCCTTACATGGTGCTCTCGGAGGCGTAGAAGCAGACCTGGTGCGTGCGCACGTCCTTGTTGGTGGGCATCCACGTGAGGCGCGTGTGGAACAGCTGCGGGTTCGTGGCGTCCACCGTGATGGGGTCCTTGGCGATGCCGAATGGAGCGAACGTGCCCAGGCGAGAGATCGTTACGCTGAAGGGAATTGCAAGGCGGGCGGGGATGTGTAGTCAGTGATGTCGGTAGGGTTGATGGATCGTCCCAACAACCCCCCTCTTCCTCCTCCTCCTCCTCGTAACATGTCGAGCGGATATCCCGACGGAAGGGGCCGTACCCCCGACTGGCTGAAGATGGCAGGAGAGCAAAGTGTGTGGACTAATCTCCATCTGTTCCATCTCACTCCCTTCTACACCGTGGGTGGACTAATCTCCATCTGTTCCATCTCACTCCCTTCTACCCCGTGTGTGGAATAATCTCCATCTGTTCCATCTCACTCCCTTCTACCCCGTGTGTGGATAATCTCCATCTGTTCTATCTCACTCCCTTCTACACCGTGGGTGGACTAATCTCACTCCCTTCTACACCGTGGGTGGACTAATCTCCATCTGTTCCATCTCACTCCCTTCTACCCCGTGTGTGGACTAATCTCCATCTGTTCCATCTCACTCCCTTCTACCCCGTGTGTGGACTAATCTCCATCTGTTCCATCTCACTCCCTTCTACACCGTGTGTGGACTAATCTCCATCTGTTCCATCTCACTCCCTTCTACCCCGTGTGTGGTCTAATCTCCATCTGTTCCATCTCACTCCCTTCTACCCCGTGTGTGGACTAATCTCCATCTGTTCCATCTCACTCCCTTCTACTCCGTGTGTGGACTAATCTCCATCTGTTCCATCTCGCCCCCTTCTACCCTGTGTCTGGACTAATCTCCATCTGTAACATCTCGCCCCCTTCTACCCCGTGTGTGGACTAATCTCCATCTGTTTCATCTCGCTCCCCTCTACCCCTTGCGTGGACTAATCTCCATGTGTTCCATCTCGCCCCCTTCTACCCCGTGTGTGGACTAATCTACATCTGTTCCATCTCACTCCCTTCTACCCCTTGCGTGGACTGATCTCTATCTGTTCCATCTCACTCCGTTCTACCCCGTGTATGGACTAATCTCCATCTGTTCCATCTCACTCCCTTCTACCCCGTGTGCGGACTAATCTTCATCTGTTCCATCTCACTCCCTTCTACATCGTTGGTGGACTAATATCCATCTGTTCCATATCACTCCCTTCTACCCCGTGTGTGGACTAATCTCCATCTGTTCCATCTCGCTCCCTTCTACCCCGTGTATGGATTAATCTCCATCTCGCTCCCTTCTACACCGTTAGTGGACTAATATCCATCTGTCCCATATCACTCCCTTCTACCCCGTGTGTGGACTAATCTCCATCTGTTCCATCTCGCTCCCTTCTACCCCGTGTCTGGACTCATCTCCATCTGTTCCATCTCGCTCCTTTCTACCCCGTGTGTGGACTAATCTGCATCTGTTCCATCTCACTCCCTTCTACCCCGTGTGTGGACTAATCTCCATCTGTTCCATCTCACTCCCTTCTACACCGTGTGTGGACTAATCTCCATCTGTTCCATCTCACTCCCTTCTACCCCGTGTGTGGTCTAATCTCCATCTGTTCCATCTCGCTCCCTTCTACCCCGTGTATGGATTAATCTCCATCTGTTCCATCTCACTCCACTTTCTACCCCGTGTATGGACTAATCTCCATCTGTTCCATCTCGCTCCCTTCTACCCCTTGCGTGGACTAATCTCCATCTGTTCCATCTCGCTCTCTTCTACCCCGTGTCTGGACTCATCTCCATCTGTTCCATCTCGCTCCTTTCTACCCCGTGTGTGGACTAATCTCCATCTGTTCCATCTCGCTCGCCTTCTACCCCGTGTGTGGACTAATCTCCATCTGTTCCATCTCGCTCCCTTCTACCCCGTGTGTGGACTAATCTCCATCTGTTCCATCTCGCTCCCCTTCTACCCTGTGTGTGGACTAATCTTCATCTGTTCCATCTCACTCCCTTCTACCCCGTGTGTGGACTAATCTCCATCTGTTCCATCTCGCTCCCCTTCTACCCTGTGTGTGGACTAATCTTCATCTGTTCCATCTCGCTCCCTTCTACCCCGTGTATGGATTAATCTCCATCTGTCCCATATCACTCCCTTCTACCCCGTGTGTGGACTAATCTCCATCTGTTCCATCTCGGTCCCTTCTACCCCTTGCGTGGATTAATCTCCATCTGTTCCATCTCACTCCACCTTCTATCCCGTGTGTGGACTAATCTCCATCTGTTCCATCTCGCTCCCTTCTACCCCTTGCGTGGATTAATCTCCATCTGTTCCATCTCACTCCCTTCTACACCGTGTGTGGACTAATCTCCATCTGTTCCATCTCACTCCACCTTCTACCCTGTGTGTGGACTCACCCCGCCGCCGCGTCAGTCGCCACGGAGATGTCGATGGGCAGCTCGAAGAGGATTCCCTGCGTCGCCACGAAGGACTGCCCGTTGCTGGGCGTGGCGCCCACAAAGGTGGGCATCAGGCACGAGACGGCAGCCTCGACTGTGGGGGGGCGGTTGGGGGGGGGGGCGGCACCGAGACGCAAGGGGCATCGTCGTCAGCATCGTCGTCATTGTCGTCGACGTCGTCGTGGTCATCACCTGCAGCGGGCGGGCGGCTCACACTGAAGCAGGACCTGGAGCAGGCGGGCGACTCACACTGAAGCAGGACCTGCAGCGGGTGACTCACACTGAAGCAGGACCTGCAGTGGGCGACTCACACTGAAGCAGGACCTGCAGCGGGCGAGCGACTCACACTGAAGCAGGACCTGCAGCAGGCAGGCGACTCACACTGAAGCAGGACCTGCAGCGAGCGACTCACACTGAAGCAGGACCTGCAGTGGGCGGGCGACTCACACTGAAGCAGGACCTACAGCGGGTGACTCACACTGAAGCAGGACCTGCAGTGGGCGACTCACACTGAAGCAGGACCTGCAGCAGGCGAGCGACTCACACTGAAGCAGGACCTGCAGCAGGCAGGCGACTCACACTGAAGCAGGACCTGCAGCGAGCGACTCACACTGAAGCAGGACCTGCAGTGGGCGGGCTACTCACACTGAAGCAGGACCTGCAGCGAGCGACTCACACTGAAGCAGGACCTGCAGTGGGCGGGCGACTCACACTGAAGCAAGACCTGCAGCGGGCAGGCGATTCACACTGAAGCAGAACCTGCAGTGGGCGACTCACACTGAAGCAAGACCTGGAGTGGGCGACTCACACTGAAGCAGGACCTGCAGCGGGTGACTCACACTGAAGCAGGACCTGCAGCGGGCGACTCACACTGAAGCAAGACCTGCAGTGGGTGACTCACACTCGAGCAGGACCTGCAGCGGGATGCCGGACAGAGCGTCGCCAGGAGCGAGGCTCAGCGAGCCCACGGTCAGCGACGAGTTGACGGAGTCCTCGATCATCAGGGCCAGGGCCCAGAGGCCGTCGGCGTCCGGGGGCACCGTGAAGGTGATGACGCAGGCGGCCTGTGCGGAGGGTGGGTGGTGGGGGGTGGGGGTGAAAAGTGAATAGTGAGTGAGAGAGAGAGATGGGGGACTGCAGTGAAATTGGAACGACGACATTAAAGGGTCGGGGATTAGCGGACCGCTGGTGGAGGAGCAAGGAGAAGTCGACACCCGTCGGGAAAACAAAACGGAATGGCAGCAGAGCGATCGAGAGACGGAACAGATGGAGATTCGTGTTCTCGGTTCTTCCGGTAAAGTCACGTCAGGTGGTTTTCACAGCTGATGGCGGTCGCTCGTGTCGCAGTCGAAACGTCGTGAGAATTTTATTGTTTTATAATTTTTACTTTTTTTATTGTTTCCCTTCTACGTGGTGGTGACTTTACCGAAAGAACCAAGAATAATAATTTTATTGTTTTAAATAATTTTATTGTTTTATATTTTCATTATTTTATTGTTTCCCTTCTACGTGGTGGTGACTTTACCGAAAGAACCAAGAATAATAATAATTTTATTGTTTAATAATTTTTACTCTTTTATTGTTTCCCTTCTATGTGGCGGTGACTTTTCCGAAAGAACCAAGAATAATAATTTCATTGTTTTATAATTTTTACTTTTTTTATTGTTTCCCTTCTACGTGGTGATGACTTTACCGAAAGAACCAAGAATTCGAATTCGCGCAGTCTCGAAAGCTTTAAATCAAGATGGAGGTTCGTTTGTCCGTCGCCACGCCGTGGAACGATGCCAAAGGGGGAGTGGGGTCGGAGTTGTGCCGACTCAGGAGGCGAAGGCAAAAACAAACAAAAATTGGTGGAGGCCAGAAGAGTGAACGACAGACCGGATGATGCTCGTGTTCTCGGTTCTTCCGGTAAAGTCACCACGTAGAAGGGAAACAATAAAATAATAAAAATATAAAACAATAAAATTATTATTCTTGGTTCTTTCGGTAAAGTCACCACCACGTAGAAGGGAAAGAATAAAATAATTAAAATATATTAAACAATGTTGTTTTATATTTTTTTATATATATTTTATTATATAAAACAATATTGTTTTATATTTTTATTATTTTATTGCTTCCCTTCTACGTGGTGACTTTACCGAAAGAACCAAGAATAATAATTTTATTGTTTTATATTTTTATTATTTTATTGCTTCCCTTCTACGTGGTGACTTTACCGAAAGAACCAAGAATAATAATTGTATTGTTTTATATTTTTATTATTTTATTGTTTCCCTTCTATGTGGTGACTTTACCGAAAGAACCAAGAATATATAACGGATTTTTATTTTATTTAAATAACGCATTGAAAATAATGAAAGCAAAAAAAAAATAGCCACGGCGTTTCGATCGCAACACAAGCGGCCTTCATCAGGCGGAGAGAAAAAAAGGTGGCGTTGATGATGGTCAGACCTGGTACTGGACAGTAGGGGCGCGCGGGGCGGGGGGGTGTCAAGCTGGGCTGCAGTGGGCAAGAGAAGGACGAATTCTAGATTCGAAGCTTTCGTCACTGCAGGAATCCACACTCTTTGGTTCTGTCGGTAAAGCCGTCACGTAGTTCAATTTATTTCTAACCACGCAACTTTACCAAAAGACGTTTCGCTGGTAAATACATCCAGCATCATGGCGAATTGTCCGATGATGCTGGATGTATTTACCAGCGAAAGGTCACAGTACTCAAACTGTAAATGTTGTGGATTCACTCTTCAACACACCGGTGGGCTAAAGTAGTGAATTATTTGTCTTTTATCAAAGTGACACTTTTTTTTGCTGATTGGCCGTGTCGGGTGGTGGAGGGTTACGACACATTTATAAATAAACGCGATCTAACCCAAAAACCTTTATTATGAATAAGAGCCACTCTCTGTAAATTCTAGATTTGAAGCTTTCGTGACTGCAAGGATCCACACTCCTCGGTTCTATTCGGCAAAGTCACGTAGTAGGTAAAAAATAAAAAAACGAAAAATCACGACGTTTCGGCCACAACACAAGCGGCCTTCATCAGGTGAAGGGGACCAGGCTGTCTCGAGGACAGCGCTGTAGTGAAACAGAGCCACGCTCAGACCGCGGACCTTTAAGCTGCGTGCGAGCAAACAAGGTGCCCTGACAAATTAATTAGCATGACAAATGTTTTGCTGCGGCACTTGTAAGAGGGGAGGGAGCACGCAATGGCAGTCACAGAGATGTGGATTTGTGCGATGGATGTTGTCTTTTGGGGGGGCGGACCGGGGGGGGGGGGGGAGGGGTGGGAAACGTCGGCATGAGGTGAAGACTCAAGGTGGCAAAATTCAGGGAGAATGTGAGATGGGGTAAAAGAGCCGGGCTCTGGTGTGGATTGGTCACGCTGAGAGACAACGGGGAAATTGACGTGGGTCAGAAGGTGAAGATGGGCTGCCCTATGCACCCACCCACCCACCTACCCATGTTTCCCCCCACTCACCACACACCCACCCACCCACCCACCATCCCTCCACCCACCCACCTTTCCCCCGGCCCACCAACCCACCTACCCACCAGTCCACCCCCACCCACCCACCTTTCCCCCCCCTCACCCACCCACCTTTCCACCCCCACCCACTCACCCACCTTTCCACCCCCACTCACCCACCCACCCACTTTTCCACCCCCACCCACCTTTCCACCCCCACCCACCCACCTTTCCACCCCCACTCACCCACCCACCTTTCCACCCCCACCCACCTTTCCACCCCCACCCACCCACCCACCTTTCCCTCCCACCCACCCACCTTTCCACCCCCACCCACCCACCTTTCCACCCCCACCCACCCACCTTTCCACCTCCACTCACCCACCCACCTTTCCACCCCCACCCACCCACCCACCTTTCCACCCTCACCCACCCATCTACCACCTTCCCTCCCACCCATCACCCACCCCCCTTACCCCCCCCCCCCGACACCCACCCCACTCCCCCCCCACCTCGTCGAGGACTCCGTAGGGGGCGACCCCGCAGATGCCTCCACACTCGTCACGTGCTCCCTTCTCGGCGTATCGGCACCGCACCGTGTCGCCGTCAGCATCGTACACCGGGATGTGCCACACGGTGGTGCAGCCGGCCTTCAGCCTGGGGGGGTGGGGGGTGGGTGGGTGGGTGGGCAGGCCGAGGTCGTTCCCGTGGGCGTGACGGGACGCTGCTGCTCCTCGTGACAATGCACTCGAGCGCCGCGGTGGTGGTGAGACGTTCACGGGCAGCTGCTGCTGCTGCTGTATATGTGGAGACTGCGTCTCTCTCATCTGCATCATCATCATCATCACGGTGGCTAGGAGATGTTAGCTCCCTCGCCTGGTGCGCAGGAGGTCTGCTGCTGCTGCTGTAGATTTGGAGACTGCGTCTCTCTCATTTGCATCATCATCATCACGGTGTCTAGGAGATGTTAACTACCTCGCCTGGATTACGGGAGGTCGTGGGTTCGATCCCGACCCTGACGCATGCTGCTGTATATGTGGAGACTGCGTCTCTCTCATCTGCATCATCATCATCACGGTGGCTAGGAGATGTTGACTACCTCGCCTGGTGTACAGGAGGTCTGTGTCTCTCTCTCTCATCATCATCATCACGGTGGCTAAGAGATGTTACCTACCTCGCCTGGTTTACGGGAGGTCGTGGGTTCGATCCCGACCCTGACGACGCCTGGTGCTGCTGTAGAATTGGAGTCTGCGTTTCTCTCTCTTATCATCATCATCATCACGGTGTCTAGGAGACGTTGACTACCTCGCCTGGTATACAGGAGGTCGTGGGTTCGATCCCGACCCTGACGCATGCTGCTGTATATGTGGAGACTGCGTCTCTCTCATCTGCATCATCATCATCATCACGGTGGCTAGGAGATGTTAGCTCCCTCGCCTGGTGCGCAGGAGGTCTGCTGCTGTAGATTTGGAGTCTGCGTCTCTCTCATCTGCATCATCATCATTATCACGGTGGCTAGGAGATGTTGACTACCTCGCCTGGCCTACAGGAGGTCTGTGTCTCTCTCATCTGCATCATCATCACGGTGGCTAGGAGATGTTAACTACCTCGCCTGGATTACGGGAGGTCGTGGGTTCGATCCCGACCCTGACGCATGCTGCTGTATATGTGGAGACTGCGTCTCTCTCATCTGCATCATTATCATCATCACGGTGGCTAGGAGATGTTAGCTCCCTCGCCTGGTGCGCAGGAGGTCTGCTGCTGCTGCTGTAGATTTGGAGTCTGCGTCTCTCTCTCTCTCTCATCATCATCATCATTATCACGGTGGCTAGGAGATGTTGACTACCTCGCCTGGCCTACAGGAGGTCTGTGTCTCTCTCATCTGCATCATCATCATCATCACGGTGGCTAGGAGATGTTAACTACCTCGCCTGGATTACGGGAGGTCGTGGGTTCGATCCCGACCCTGACGCATGCTGCTGTATATGTGGAGACTGCGTCTCTCTCATCTGCATCATCATCATCATCATCACGGTGGCTAGGAGATGTTAGCTCCCTCGCCTGGTGCGCAGGAGGTCTGCTGCTGCTGCTGCTGTAGATTTGGAGTCTGCGTCTCTCTCTCTCTCTCATCATCATCATTATCACGGTGGCTAGGAGATGTTGACTACCTCGCCTGGTATACAGGAGGTCTGTGTCTCTCTCTCTCTCATCATCATCATCACGGTGGCTAGGAGATGTTAACTACCTCCCCTGGTTTACGGGAGGTCGTGGGTTCGATCCCGACCCTGACGCATGTTGCTGCTGCTGTAAATTAGGAGTCTGTCTCTCTCTCATCATCACGGTGGCTAGGAGATGTTGACTACCTCGCCAGGTTTACGGGAGGTCGTGGGTTCGATCCCTACCCTAACGATGCCTACTGCTGCTGTATATTTGGAGTCTGTCTCTCTCTCTCTCATCATGATGGTGGCTAGGAGATGTTAGCTCCCTCGCCTGGTTTACGGGAGGTCGTGGGTTCGATCCCGACCCTGACTCATGCTGCTGCTGCTGCTGTATATTTGCAGTGTGCCTTCCTCTCTCTCTGTCTCTCTCCCCCCCAGTGGTCACGTGGATTTTCCTCCGGGACCTCCTCCGTATATTCTCTCCACATTTCACATCAACGCCGCCACTCATTTTGAGCGTTTGGCTACCGCGACCAATTTCCACACGCTGATAAGCCACTCTCGTTGCGCTATCATTTGTGGACAGGTCGCATTCTGAACAAGAGCTTACTGCATACACATTGACATGCTAATTTATTTGCTTCAGCAGCATCCCCAGAAGACCCACACCTCTCTCTCTCTCTCTGCCCCTCCCCCCCCCCTCTCTCTATTTAAGTCCTCGACACAGAGGCATTGGGTCTCTGTTGTGTCTATGTTGTGCGTCTCCCTGTGTCTATCTGCTTGTGCGTCTGCCTGCGTGTCTCCGTGTCTGTGTTTTGTGTCTCTCTCAAATTTTAGCCCTACCTAACGACGGTTTGCTTGTGTGTTGCAGTCGAGACGTCTTATTATGAGTTAAGTGATGACGTCACCCTGCTGCTGCTCTATATAAAACCGGGAGCAAGTGTGGAGAGGGCTTTACCATTCTGGCGAATTGCCCGATGATGCTGGATGTATTTACCAGCGAAACGTCGTACTCAAACTGTAAATGTTATGGATCCACTCTTCAACACACCGGTGGGCTAAAGTAGTGAACTGTTTTGTCTTTTTGTCAACGTGACACTTTTTTTTTGCTGATTGGCCGTGTCGGGTGGTGGAGGGTTACGACACATTTATAAATAAACGCGATCTCACCACAAAAAAACCTTTATTATGTCTCATTATATTATTTAATTCATTTTATTTCAACGCTACTTGCCCCGACAGTCCGTGAAGCCTACACCAGGTGGACCCTCGTCCTTGTAGACCAGCGGTGGGCATCGCGGACGGGCACGTGAACCGCGGAGCGTCATCCGCCGCGCACTCTGCCGATCGGCGGACGAGCGGGAAAGCAATGACCCCGAGTCTCGTCGGTAGAAAGCGTCAAACCTGGGCGTGCGGTGGCGCTGTTGGGGTGTGGGGTTGTGGGGATTGACCTCGGAGAGACGTGGGTGGGGTGGGGTGGGTGGTGGGTGGGTGGTGGGTGGGGGCGAGTGACAACGAAGACGACGAAGAGGGTGACGGCGATGGGGTCGTCAGTGTCGAGGAGGTGGGCTGGGTGGGTCACCTGATGAGCGGCTTGGAGGAGGTGACGGGGGAGACGTTCGGGGCCCCCGTGTCGCTGCGCACGCCCGGGTTGAGCACCGTGATGAGCGACCAGTCCCACTCGGACGCCTCGATCTGGTTGTCCACCCTCCACACCAGGACGTTCACCCAGCAGCAGTCGCGGAAGCTGAATGCGTGCGTGTGTGTGTGGGTGGGTGGGTGGGGGAGGGATGGAGGGCATTTACAGAGAGATGGGGGGAGGTGGGGTGACATGGGTAGGGAGATGGAACAGATGGAGATTTGCCCACACACTTGTCTGTGCTGTATCCGCCTTCTCCAGGGTGCACTGCTCCTAAATGCCCACAGGAAGGGGTTAGGGGCCTAAATCAGGAGCGGTGGAGCCTAAAAGCGAAATGCGCGGATCCAGGGAGTGGTGGTGCCTTAGGAGTAAGGAGCCGGGGTCATTGAGAGGGAGAGGTGGGACCTAGAGAGGACTGAGTGGGTCCTAGAGAGGACTGAGTGGGACCTAGAGGACTGAGTGGGACCTAGAGGACTGAGTGGATCCTAGAGAGGACTGAGTGGGTCCTAGAGAGGACTGAGTGGGTCCTACAGGACTGAGTGGGTCCTAGAGGACTGAGTGGGTCCTAGAGGACTGAGTGGGTCCTAGAGGACTGAGTGGGTCCTAGAGAGGACTGAGTGAGTCCTAGAGAGGACTGAGTGGGTCCTAGAGAGGACTGAGTGAGTCCTAGAGAGGACTGAGTGGGTCCTAGAGGACTGAGTGGGTCCTAGAGAGGACTGAGTGAGTCCTAGAGAGGACTGAGTGGGTCCTAGAGAGGGAGGTCCTAGAGAGGACTGAGTGAGTCCTAGAGAAGATTGAGTGGGTCCTAGAGGACTGGGTGGGACCTAGAGGACTGAGTGGGTCCTAGAGAGGACTGAGTGGGTCCTAGAGAGGACTGAGTGGGTCCTAGAGAGGACTGAGTGAGTCCTAGAGGACTGATTGGGTCTAGAGGACTGAGTGGGTCCTAGAGAGGACTGAGTGGGTCCTAGAGAGGACTGAGTGAGTCCTAGAGAGGACTGAGTGGGTCCTAGAGAGGACTGAGTGAGTCCTAGAGAGGACTGAGTGGGTCCTAGAGGACTGAGTGGGTCCTAGAGAGGACTGAGTGAGTCCTAGAGAGGACTGAGTTGGTCCTAGAGAGGGAGAGGTGGGTCCTAGAGAGGACTGAGTGAGTCCTAGAGAGGATTGAGTGGGTCCTAGAGGACTGGGTGGGACCTAGAGTACTGAGTGAGTCCTAGAGGACTGAGTGAGTCATAGAGGACTGAGTGGGTCCTAGAGAGGACTGAGTGGGTCCTAGAGAGGACTGAGTGGGACCTAGAGGAGTGATTGGGTCTAGAGGACTGAGTGAGACCTAGAGAACTGAGTGGGTCCTAGAGGACTGAGTGAGTCCTAGAGAGGACTGAGTGGGTCCTAGAGAGGACTGAGTGAGTCCTAGAGGACTGATTGGGTCTAGAGGACTGAGTGGGTCCTAGAGAGGACTGAGTGGGTCCTAGAGAGGACTGAGTGAGTCCTAGAGAGGACTGAGTGGGTCCTAGAGAGGACTGAGTGAGTTCTAGAGAGGACTGAGTGGGTCCTAGAGGACTGAGTGGGTCCTAGAGAGGACTGAGTGAGTCCTAGAGAGGACTGAGTTGGTCCTAGAGAGGGAGAGGTGGGTCCTAGAGAGGACTGAGTGAGTCCTAGAGAGGATTGAGTGGGTCCTAGAGGACTGGGTGGGACCTAGAGTACTGAGTGAGTCCTAGAGGACTGAGTGAGTCATAGAGGACTGAGTGGGTCCTAGAGAGGACTGAGTGGGTCCTAGAGAGGACTGAGTGGGACCTAGAGGACTGATTGGGTCTAGAGGACTGAGTGAGACCTAGAGAACTGAGTGGGTCCTAGAGGACTGAGTGAGTCCTAGAGAGGACTGAGTGGGACCTAGAGGACTGAGTGAGTCCTAGAGGACTGAGTGGAACCTAGAGAACTGAGTGAGACTTAGAGGACTGAGTGGGTCCTAGAGAGGACTGAGTGGGTCTTAGAGAGGACTGAGTGGATCCTAGAGAGGACTGAGTGGATCCTAGAAGACTGAGTGGGTCCTAGAGGACTGAGTGGGTCCTAGAGGACTGAGTGAGTTCTAGAGAGGACTGAGTGGGCCCTAGAGGACTGAGTGGGTCCTAGAGAGGACTGAGTGGGTCCTAGAGGACTGAGTGGGTCCTAAAGGACTGAGTGAGTCCTAGAGAGGACTGAGTGGGACCTAGAGGACTGAGTAGGTCCTAGAGAGGACTGATTCGGTTCTAAAGAGGAAGGGGTGGGGCCTAAGAAGTAAGGAACCGGGAGCCTAGAGATGAATGGGTGGGTCCTAGAGTTGAAGGGGCGGGTCCTACAGATGAAGGGGTGGGTCCTCGGGAGGAAGGGGCCGGTCCTAGAGATGAAGGGGCGGGTCCTAGAAATGGAGGGGCGGGTCCTAGGGGGGAAGGGGCGGGTCCTAGAGATGAAGGGACGGGTCCTTGGGAGGAAGGGGCGGGTCCTAGAGATGAAGGGGCGGGTCCTAGAGATGAAGAGGCGGGTCCTCGGGAGGAAGGGGCGGGTCGTAGAGATGAAGGGGTGGGTCCTCGGGAGGAAGGGGCGGGTCCTAGAGATGAAGGGGCGGGTCCTAGAAATGGAGGGGCGGGTCCTAGGGGGGAAGGGGCGGGTCCTAGAGATGAAGGGCCGGGTCCTTGGGAGGAAGGGGCGGGTCCTCGAGATGAACGGGCGCGTCCTAGAGATGAAGAGGCGGGTCCTCGGGAGGAAGGGGCGGGTTCTAGAGATGAAGGGGTGGGTCCTAGAGATGAAGAGGCGGGTCCTCGGGAGGAAGGGGCGGGTCCTAGCGATGAAGGGGCAGGTCCTAGAGATGAAGGGGCGGGTCCTCGGGAGGAAGGGGCGGGTCCTAGAGATGAAGGGGCGGGTCCTAGAGATGAAGGGGCTGGTCCTAGAGATGAAGGGGCGGGTCAAAGAGAGGAATGGGCGGGTCCTAGAGATGAAGGGGCAGGTCCTATAGATGAAGGGGCGGGTCCTAGAGATGAAGGGGCGGGTCCTAGAGATGAAGGGGCGGGTCCTCATGAGGAAGGGGCGGGTCCTAGAGATGAAGAGGCGGGTCCTAGAGATGAAGGGGCGGGTCCTAGAGATGAAGGGGCGGGTCCTCAGGATGAATGGGCGGGTCCTAGAGATGAAGGGGCTGGTCCTAGAGATGAAGCGGCGGGTCCTAGAGATGAAGGGGCGGGTCCTAGAGATGAAGGGGCGGGTCCTAGAGATGAAGGGGCGGGTCCTAGAGATGAAGGGGCGGGTCCTAGAGATGAAGGGGCGGGTCCTAGAGATGAAGGAGCGGTTCCTAGAGATGAAGCGGCGGGTCCTAAAGATGAAGGGGCGGGTCCTAGAGATGAAGGGGCGGGTCCTAGAGATGAAGAGGCGGGTCCTAGGGGGGAAGGGGTGGGTCCTAGAGATGAAGGGGCGGGTCCTAGAGATGAAGCGGCGGGTCCTAGAGATGAAGGGGCGGGTCCTAGAGATGAAGCGGCGGGTCCTAGAGATGAAGGGGCGGGTCCTAGAGATGATGGGGCGGGTCCTACAGATGAAGGGGCGGGTCCTAGAGATGAAGGGGCGGGTCCAAGAGATGAAGGGGCGGGTCCTAGAGATGAAGGGGCGGGTCCTAGAGATGAAGGAGTGGGGGGAGGGATCCTACAGAGATTGAAGTTCCCCTCTTGGCGGCGGCGGCGGCAATAGCTCTGGTGCGGCAGATGCGTTCACACAGCCAAATACCAATTCCGCAATGAGTCCAATCACCCCCTTCGCATGTACATATGCTGAACTTATTTCGCACCGTACATCGCCAACTGTGGCTAATCGCGGGTGCGGGTGGGGGAAGGAAAAAAAAACTATAGACTAAAACGCAAGTAGCGGTTCTGAAAAAAGATATATCGGAAGGGAAGAGCATTCCAGACGGCCGCAGGAGCAGCAGCAGCATCTGAAAGAGCGCGGCGAGAAGCCAGAGGGGCCTCCGCTGCCGCAAGGACGACCGGAGTTCGTAGTTCCATAGTTCCATTTATTTTTGGTACGGCCCTGTGAGCCATTCGGCTCTTGAATCGGGAGGAACCGCAACAAACACAAAAACATGAACAAGAAAAACATCTTAAAGTGACTATGTGTGTGACTTTGAGCAAAACAGAAAATCCAGGGGGAAAACAAAAAACATCAAAATATTCCTGAAATAGCACCGTACACCAACGCCGTGTGAAAATATCCCAGTGGGATGCAAGTCAAACAACAACAAAAACAACAACAACCACAAGACAACTTAGATTAAGGCCATAGAGATACATAGAGACCCATAGAGATGCACAGAGACCCACAGAGATACATAGAGACCCATAGAGATACATAGAGACCCATATAGAAAGATACAGACCCATATAGATACATAGAGACCCATAGAGATGCACAGAGACCCACAGAGATACATAGAGACCCATAGAGATACATACAGACCCACATAGTTACATAGAGACCCATAGAGATACATAGACACCCATAGAGACACATAGAAACCCATATAGATACATAGAGACCCATAGAGATACATACAGATCCATAGAGATACATAGAGACCCATAGAGATACATAGAGACCCATAGAGATACAAAGAGATACATAGAGACCCATTGAGACACATACAGACCCATAGAGATACGTAGAGACCCAGATAGATACATAGAGATCCATAGAGATACACAGAGACCCATAGAGATACACAGAGACCCATATAGATACATAGAGACCCATAGAGATACACAGAGACCCATAGAGATACACAGAGACCCATAGAGATACACAGAGACCCATAGAGATACACAGAGACCCATATAGATACACAGAGACCCATAGAGATACACAGAGACCCATAGTGATACACAGAGACCCATAGAGATACACAGAGACCCATAGAGACCCATAGAGATACATAGAGACCCATAGAGATACACAGAGACCCATAGAGATACACAGAGACCCATAGAGATACACAGAGACCCATAGAGATACACAGAGACCAATAGAGATACACAGAGACCCATAGAGATACACAGAGACCCATATAGATACATAGAGACCCATAGTGATACATAGAGACCCATAGAGATACACAGAGACCCATAGAGATACACAGAGACCCATATAGAAATTTTGAGACCCATATAGATACACAGAGACCCATAGAGATACACAGAGACCCATATAGATACACAGAGACCCATATAGATACATAGAGACTCATAGAGATACACAGAGACCCACAGAGATACACAGAGACCCATAGAGATACACAGGGACCCATAGAGATACACAGAGACCCATAGAGATACACAGAGACCCATAGAGATACACAGAGACCCATAGAGATACACAGAGACCCATAGAGATACACAGAGACCCATAGAGATACACAGAGACCCATAGAGATACACAGAGACCCATAGAGATACACAGAGACCCATAGAGATACACAGAGACCCATAGAGATACACAGAGACCCATAGAGATACACAGAGGCCCATAGAGATACAACGTTTTTTTTTTCAGTTCCATTTATTTTGGTATAGCCCTGTGAGCCATTCGGCTCTGCAACCGCGAAAAACTAAAAAACTAAAACACGAATAAAAAAACATCTTAAAGCGACTATGTGTGTGACTTTGTACAAACAAAAATTCCAGGATAAAAAAGCATCATAATATTCCTGAAATAGCACCGTACACCAACGCTGTGTGCAAAAATCCCAGTGGGATGCAAATCAAACAACAACAACAACAACCACAAAAACTTAGATAAAGGCCATAGAGATACATAGAGACCCATAGAGATACATAGAGACCCATACAGATACACAGAGACCCATAGAGATACACAGAGACCCATAGAGATACATAGAGACCCATAGAGATACACAGAGACCCATAGAGATACACAGAGACCCATAGGGATACATAGAGACCCATAGAGATACACAGAGACCCATAGAGATACATAGAGACCCATAGAGATACATACAGACCCATATAGATACACAGAGACCCATAGAGATACATAGAGACCCATAGAGATACACAGAGACCCATAGAGATACATAGAGACCCATATAGATACATAGAGACCCATAGAGATACATACAGACCCATATAGATACATAGAGACCCATAGAGATACACAGAGACCCATAGAGATACAAAGAGATACATAGAGACCCATCGAATAAAACCAAAGAGTATGAATCCTTGCAGTCGCGGAAGCTTCAAATCTAGAATTAAGCAACGCCAAACCCTATAAGAGCCATAGCTGGCTGCATGAGTCACTCCACAACAGCAGCAGCATCGGTCGGAGTATCACATTTTTCAATGCACCTTTCAGACCCCGCGCAGTCATCCAATTGGCCCGACGCATTGGCGTTGGTAGGGGGAGGTTGGGGGGGGGGGATGGGGGATGGGGAGGACCGTCGCCGGCCAGGTCAGCCGGCCGGGTACCGCGACCCGGGCCGGCTGCCGGACTACTATTCGTCGGTAGGCCACTCACGCGATGACGCTGGGCGCCGTGGGCGGGATGGTGAAGTCGAACGCCGACGAGCCGATCATCCAGTTGGAGTTCTGGTTCTGCTCGATGCAGGAGTACGACAGCGAGTAGATGGACGAGCAGCTCTCGGTGCAGCGCCACTTCTGGTACGAGGTGAACGACTTGCCGGACGTGATGTCGGCGTCAACGCAGCGCCCGCCCTCCCCCGAGTTTCGTCGCCACGCGAGCATGTAGTAGAAGTGATACTGGTGCGGAGCGGAGGGATGGGGCAGAGGGGGGGGGGGGTTCGCGGGTGATAACGGATTCGGGGGGGGGGGGGGATGGGGAGAAGGAGGACATTATATTTCGATTTAAAGCTTTCGTGACTGCAAGTATTCATCTTCTTTGGTTCTTTCGGTAAAGTCAAGAGACGTCGTGAGAAAATTATTACGTTATTTTATTTTATCAATTTATTATTTTATTCTCATTCTACGTGGTGACTTTACCGAAAGAAACCAAAGAAGAGGACATTATAGTTTGATGCGTGGGTTTCCGTGGCCGACCAGTGGGCTAATCGGAGGTGCCGGGGTGGGACACCAGACTAAAGATAAAATAATTCCACTATTCAGGGACTCCTCTGCTTGCCAACATTGGACTTACAAACTTTCAGAGATACGAACAAAAACCTGGTCCGTCATGTCCAGTTGTCTGTTCGGACCGAGAGTCGTAAGTTCAACTGCCGCGCAAATAGATGGCGGTGGTGGCATCTACATCCGCAGAACGTGAAGAACCAGTGGCAACTACATCTGCAGAACGTGACGAATCAGTGGCATCTACATCTGCAGAGCGTGAAGAACCAGTGGCATCTACATCTGCAGAGCGTGAAGAACCAGTGGCATCTACATCTGCAGAGCGTGAAGAACCAGTGGCATCTACATCTGCAGAGCTTGAAGAACCAGTGGCATCTACATCTGCAGAGCGTGAAGAACCAGTGGCATCTACATCTGCAGAGCGTGAAGAACCAGTGGCATCTACATCTGCAGAGCGTGAAGAACCAGTGGCATCTACATCTGCAGAGCGTGAAGAACCAGTGGCATCTACATCTGCAGAACGTGAATAACCAGTGGCATGTACATCTGCAGAGCGTGAAGAACCAGTGGCATCTAAATCTGCAGAGCGTAAAGAACCAGTGGCATCTACATCTGCAGAGCGTGAAGAACCAGTGGCATCTACATCTGCAGAGCGTGAAGAACCAGTGGCATCTACATCTGCAGAGCGTGAAGAACCAGTGGCATCTAAATCTGCAGAGCATGAAGAACCAGTGGCATCTAAATCTGCAGAATGTGAAGAACCAGTGGCATCTACATCTGCAGAACGTGAAGAACCAGTGGCATCTACATCTGCAGAGCGTGAAGAACCATTGGCATCTACATCAGCAGAACGTGAAGAACCAGTGGTATCTACATCTGTAGAACGTGACAAACCAGTGGCATCTACATCTGCGGAAGATGAAGAAGCAGTGGCATCAACATCTGCAGAACGTGAAGAACCAGTGGCATCTACATCTGCAGAGCGTGAAGAACCAGTGGCATCTACATCTGCAGAGCGTGAATAACCAGTGGCATCTACATCTGCAGAGCGTGAATAACCAGTGGCATCTATATCTGCAGAGCGTGAATAACCAGTGGCATCTACATCTGCAGAACGTGAAGAACCAATGGCATCTAAATCTACAGAACGTGAAGAACCAGTGGCATCTACATCTGCAGAACGTGAAGAACCAGTGGCATCTACATCTGCAGAACGTGAAGAACCAGTGGCATCTACATCTGCAGAACGTGAAGAACCAGTGGCATCTACATCTGCAGAAAGTGAAGAACTAGTGGCATCTAAATCTGTAGAGCGTGAAGAACCAGTGGCATCTACATCTGCAGAACGTGAATAACCAGTGGCATCTACATCTGCAGAGCGTGAAGAACCAATGGCATCTAAATCTACAGAACGTGAAGAACCAGTGGCATCTACATCTGCAGAACGTGAAGAACCAGTGGCATCCACATCTGCAGAGCGTGAAGAATCAGTGGCATCTACATCTGCAGAACGTGAAGAACCAGTGGCATCTACATCTTCAGAGCGTGAAGAACCAGTGGCATCTACATCTGCGGAAGATGAAGAAGCAGTGGCATCTACATCTGTAGAACATGAAGAACCAGTGGCATCTAAATCTGTAGAACGTGACAAATCAGTGGCATCTACATCTGTAGAACGTAACAAACCAGTGGCATCTACATCTGCGGAAGATGAAGAAGCAGTGGCATCTACATCTGCAGAACATGAAGAACCAGTGGCATCTACATCGACAGAACGTGAAGAACCAATGGCATCTAAATCTACAGAACGTGAAGAACCAGTGGCATCTACATCTGCAGAACGTGAAGAACCAGTGGCATCTAAATCTGTAGAACGTGAAGAACCAGTGGCATCCACATCTGCAGAGCGTGAAGAACCAGTGGCATCTACATCTGCAGAACGCGAACAACCAGTGGCATCTACATCTTCAGAGCGTGAAGAACCAGTGGCATCTACATCTGCGGAAAATGAAGAAGCAGTGGCATCTACATCTGTAGAACATGAAGAACCAGTGGCATCTAAATCTGTAGAACGTGACAAACCAGTGACATCTACATCTGCAGAACGTGAATAACCAGTGGCATCTACATCTGCAGAGCGTGAAGAACCAGTGGCATCTACATCTGCAGAGCGTGAAGAACCAGTGGCATCTACATCTGCAGAGCGTGAATAACCAGTGGCATCTATATCTGCAGAGCGTGAATAACCAGTGGCATCTACATCTGCAGAACGTGAAGAACCAATGGCATCTAAATCTACAGAACGTGAAGAACCAGTGGCATCTGCATCTGCAGAACGTGAAGAACCAGTGGCATCTATATCTGCAGAACGTGAAGAACCAGTGGCATCTACATCTGCAGAACGTGAAGAACCAGTGGCATCTACATCTGCAGAAAGTGAAGAACTAGTGGCATCTAAATCTGTAGAGCGTGAGGAACCAGTGGCATCTACATCTGCAGAACGTGAATAACCAGTGGCATCTACATCTGCAGAGCGTGAAGAACCAATGGCATCTAAATCTACAGAACGTGAAGAACCAGTGGCATCTACATCTGCAGAACGTGAAGAACCAGTGTCATCCACATCTGCAGAGCGTGAAGAACCAGTGGCATCTACATCTGCAGAACGTGAAGAACCAGTGGCATCTACATCTGCAGAACGTGAAGAACCAGTGGTATCTACATCTGCAGAGCGTGAAGAACCAGTGGCATCTACATCTGCAGAACGTGAAGAACCAGTGGCATCTACATCTGCAGAACGTGAAGAACCAGTGGCATCTACATCTGCAGAGCGTGAAGAACCAGTGGCATCTAAATCTGTAGAACGTGACAAACCAGTGACATCTACATCTGCAGAGCGTGAAGAACCAGTGGCATCTACATCTGCAGAACGTGAAGAACCAGTGTCATCTACATCTGCAGAACGTGAATAACCAGTGGCATCTACATCTGCAGAGCGTGAAGAACCAGTGGCATCTACATCTGCAGAGCGTGAAGAACCAGTGGCATCTACATCTGCAGAGCGTGAATAACCAGTGGCATCTATATCTGCAGAGCGTGAATAACCAGTGGCATCTACATCTGCAGAACGTGAAGAACCAATGGCATCTAAATCTACAGAACGTGAAGAACCAGTGGCATCTGCATCTGCAGAACGTGAAGAACCAGTGGCATCTATATCTGCAGAACGTGAAGAACCAGTGGCATCTACATCTGCAGAACGTGAAGAACCAGTGGCATCTACATCTGCAGAAAGTGAAGAACTAGTGGCATCTAAATCTGTAGAGCGTGAGGAACCAGTGGCATCTACATCTGCAGAACGTGAATAACCAGTGGCATCTACATCTGCAGAGCGTGAAGAACCAATGGCATCTAAATCTACAGAACGTGAAGAACCAGTGGCATCTACATCTGCAGAACGTGAAGAACCAGTGTCATCCACATCTGCAGAGCGTGAAGAACCAGTGGCATCTACATCTGCAGAACGTGAAGAACCAGTGGCATCTACATCTGCAGAACGTGAAGAACCAGTGGCATCTACATCTGCAGAGCGTGAAGAACCAGTGGCATCTACATCTGCAGAACGTGAAGAACCAGTGGCATCTACATCTGCAGAACGTGAAGAACCAGTGGCATCTACATCTGCAGAGCGTGAAGAACCAGTGGCATCTAAATCTGTAGAACGTGACAAACCAGTGACATCTACATCTGCAGAGCGTGAAGAACCAGTGGCATCTACATCTGCAGAACGTGAAGAACCAGTGTCATCTACATCTGCAGAACGTGAAGAACCAGTGGCATCTAAATCTGTAGAACGTGACGAACCAGTGGCATCTACATCTGCAGAACGTGAAGAACCAGTGGCGTCTACATCTACAGCAGATTATACAACTTTTAAAGCAATACCCCGTGTTTATCGTACGTGCCGTGCGACACGTTTGGAACCGATGGGAGTAAAGTTGGACTTACGAACAACAAATCGACTTATGAGCAGTATCTCTGGAGTCGCTGTATGTTGATTAACTGCGAATAAGCCCACCGATGAAAGGCACTTCATATTCTCAGATCAACACGATGAGTTGAACTTTACGACTGAAACAGGAGGACTCCTTCACAATTCTGGCTCATCACCTGATGAAGCCAGCTGCTGCTGAAGCTGCTGCTGCTGCTGTTGTTGCTGTAATCACCGGCGAGACGTCACGGTTACTTGCATGGCAAGCGTTTGTCGCGGGCTCAACTCTCCAACACACAAGCGGTGTAGCGCTGCAACTTGTAACGCCTTTGGCGCCACGTTCTGTTCACGTGACACAAACCCCTCTTACTGATTGGCCGCGTCGTGTGGCGACGGGTTTAGCGACACAACGCATTTACATTGACGCGATCTAAGCCCCGCTCCCCCCACCAAAAAAAACCCCCTCCATTATGGAAGTTCGTATATTCAGTAAAAATGCACAGTTACAGGAGCGATTTCGACTTAAAACTTTCGTGACTGCCGGAATTAATTTTCCTTGTGTTCTTTCGGTAAAGTCACGTAGATAGAAGAAGAATAATGAATTTAACAAAAATAATACAAATAAAACCACTAAGTTAAAACCACTATGGTTTTTAGTTTATTTTTAAATAGCACTATGGTTTTT